TCCATATCCCCACCCTCTGGCTGTCTTTCCCCCTTTTTTCCAACCGGTATGCAATATTTCAGTAAAAACAGCAGAGCTGTGCTTGCCAGCATCACAGAAACAGTGATCCAAGGCATGGGGCCCAGTGGACCAACAACAAATCACAGAATGTATCTGGATACAGAGGGTAGGAGTGGGGATGCTGATTTAGATTCAGATGCTGGACTATAACTCCCTTCATCCCTGACCATGGGCTGAGCTATCTGGGCCTGATGGCTTACAGCAACATCTGGAGGGCTGCACTGATTGTGTTGTGTTGCGAAAGAGATGGTGACGGCACGGGCTTTACTTTGCTTTCTCCTTACTTTGCAACAAGAGTTATGTGGGAACAGGGATCTTCGGTCAAGAAGACGGCTTTCCTCATCTTACTGACAATCTCATCCACGCTCTTAGCAAGTCATAGTTCTTTGGAAGTGCTGCCTCATTTTCAGCTGGAAATGCTGGGCTGGATGTAGAAAGAAGGAGGTTATGCCATGGTTTTCTTGAGATAATTCTACTAGTGTAAATTTAAAGTTACAGTAGGTGTAATTATAGGGGACGCGGGTGGCGCTGTGGGTAAAACCTCAGCGCCTAGGGCTTGCCGATCGGAAGGTCGGCGGTTCGAATCCCCACGGCGGGGTGCGCTCCCGTCGTTCGGTCCTAGCGCCTGCCAACCTAGCAGTTCGAAAGCACCTCCGGGTGCAAGTAGATAAATAGGGACCGCTTACCAGCAGGAAGGTAAACGGCGTTCCGTGTGCGGCTCTGGCTCGCCAGAGCAGCTTCGTCACGCTGGCCACGTGACCTGGAAGTGTCTGCGGACAGCGCTGGCTCCCGGCCTATAGAGTGAAATGAGCGCACAACCCTAGAGTCTGGCAAGACTGGCCCGTACGGGCAGGGGTACCTTTACCTTTACCTTAGGTGTAATTATAAATTTATACTAAGTGGGCATTTGTGATTTTAAAAAGCATAAATCTGCTTTTCAAAATAACATTCAATACTTGCGTTTCATCTGTATTGTGACAGCTGAACTACAAGGATCTCGAGGACCTTTTGATTTCTGACACCCGCATGTGCATGTGTTTTTATTTTTTGAATTAAAAGCTGCCTATTCCTTAGTATTGCAATATGTTATCTTTCAGGTTGTCGATAACGAAGAAGAAGAAGAACAAGTAAAGTCAACCTAAATCAGGGAAAGTTTTGGACTCATAAGCTAAAATTATTTTCCAAGCTGATTTGTCTAAATTAGCCGCTCACTATAGAAAAATGTTCAGCTGTTGTCACCACTTTTCCCAGACGCAGGACTGTTTCCTTCACTGCTTCATGGTTCTAAGAAAACAAGTGAAAAGTATTCTTGAAAGTGTGGTTGTCCGTTTGCTGCTATTCTTGTAAACAAAAAGAAGAAAATGTATAGATTTTATTTGGACAGTGTGACATTTATAAAATATTTCCCCTCTCTGTGGTGACCTACAGCCCATACTGTTGGAAGAATTATGTAGTGATAAATACAGATATAAATTATTGCTTTATTATTTTGAGGCCTTCCTGTTATATAAGCCATGTTTTTATTCTTCTTCGTGGGTCTGTTGTCTTATCAACACTGCATATATATCTTTGCTACTAAATGCACAATACTGGGTGAATCCTGATAATGGTTTCGTTATTATTGGTCACAAATGGGGATTAGAAACTGAACTTAACCCTTGTAAATAAGAAAACCAACTCTTTTGCTACTGTACTTTCTTGAATACATCAAAGTAGTTGCAACAGCAAAATCAGAGTGTGTCAAGCAAACCCACATTACCATACTGGCCCGAATATAAGCTGCACCTAAATATAAGCCACACCTTTAAAATTCAAGGGGGGAAAAGAAAAAAAGACAATACCAGAATATAAGCCGCTCCATTAAAATTCTGCAGGCACTCACACCCGTTCTGTTTTACCGTATGTCTGTTTCAGCAGCGGTACCGTAAAAGCCAATTTTTGTACGGTTCCAAATTTAAGCTGCACTTTTAACTTTTCACGGCTGGAATTTGGGGGGAAAGTGAGGCTTTTATTCATGCCAGCACAGTAAATGAATTTAAAAATGTGCTGGGAAGAATGTGTGAACTATACAGGAGCTGGGACTCCCCAAGGAAACTGGATGCCTTTTCAATAAAGGCAAATAGGAAATTACTTTGCCTAATATTCAAGTAAGCATATGCTGTGTGAGGGCAGCCAGAAGCAACACATGCCCTGCTTGTCTTGCGTAAGATGCCACTGCAGCTCTTGTGGCACTGTCTTTTCCTTGCCCTGGGCTAAGAATGAGTTGCTAGTATATGACCACTATCGGTTCTGGCCATCTTGAACTTTTTAATGGTTGACGCACTTAATAAGTTCTGACTCATTCCAAGTTCCTGGAAGAGAACCCTTCTGTATTTACTGTTTTACTTTCCCCTGCCTCTGAAAACATCACATTACCTAACATGATGCAATCAGCACACCTAATCTTCACAACAGCGTTCCTTCCTTTTATTTGAAAGGACAAGTACAGTGGTATGAAAAGGATAGCTTGTTACTTGAGAATTAGTAATCCAGCACAGCCCCCCCCCCCAAGAGACCTGGAAGACTCTATTCAGCATTTCCTGGTGGATCAGCAAAAGGGGTGTCTGAAACAAGTCAATTCTAAGTTAAACTGGGTGTCAAGTTTGTCAGGGCTACTTCCATTCTCAGGAACTGCCAGCAAGTGACCAGTTGAGATAGTAGCGCATGGATCTTGCCTGCAGCAGCTCCCTTCGGTTTTAGGTACCTTTTAAGAGTAAGAAATGACATCTAGACCTTTTTAAAATTATGCATGGCACGGAGAAACTGGATAGAATTTTTTTCTCCCTTTCTATGCTAGAACTAAAACAAAAATATCAAAGGAGGCCTTGTTGAAATATGCTGTTTCCACAGTGGGGGACTCTTTAACGTGCATGAATGGCAAACCAGAACACCACCAAGTGTGGTGAGGCTCATTCCATGGGAAGGAAGGTGAAGCAACGTTGGGGAAGATTCTGTTTCTAATGTAGACCAGCTTCACAAACTAGGCATGCAAAAGGTTGCCCTCTCCTGCTGTGCGCCCCCAGCACCTAGTGCACTGTCACTATGCACATTATTTAAATCATATCCCACCTTTACTCCATGGAGAATCAAGGTGGCATACATGGCTACCCCCTTTCTCTGTGAGGTGGGTTAGGCTGAGACCCAAAGTCACCGGACCGTGGTCTCACCCATGTCCAGGTTCGACCCTCTAACCACTGCACCACATTGGCCCACAGTCACTACTGGAAGCTGCCTTACGCAACCTCTGGCCATTAGCCTGCCTGGCCTAGAATTGTCTCTTGGGACTGATGGCCATTCTCCAGTATGGAAGGGGGCCAGTGGCCTTTTCTGCCACCTGCCTCTTTTAAGCGGGAGAACGGGTGGGGCTGCTAGGGCAGGTCGGACAAAACCCCTTTGCAATCTGTTGGGGGCATGAAGGTGGCTACTGGACCACCACCACTCCTTGCTGCTTGTCCCCTGCACCAGGTACCGGGCAATAGACTGTTGCTGAAAATGGAGGCTCCATGAAGCTCCAACAGGCAACTCTGGAGTTTTGCTGGAAGCATTGTTTTAAAGCGCCCCACAATGCTCTGGTGCTATGGCAAAGAAGGAAAGGCAAATTATTTTAAAACTGATTTCATAGTGTGTTCTAATCCCACCCTGGGATCTTGGGGCAAAGGGCAGGAAATGAAAAGTCAAAAAGTGAAGGGTACTAAATACAGTGGTACCTCGGGTTACATACGCTTCAGGTTACAGACTCCACTGACCCAGAAATATTACCTCGGGTTAAGAACTTTGCTTCAGGATGAGAACAGAAATTGTGCTCCGGTGGCGCGGCGGCAGCAGGAGGCCCCATTAGCTAAAGTGGTGCTTCAGGTTAAGAACAGTTTCAGGTTAAGAATGGACCTCCGGAACGAATTAAGTACGTAACCAGAGGTACCACTGTACATAAATAGCCCCAAAAGAGAGCCCCGTTTTGCCCGAGCCTAGAGCCACCAGCTAGCGGACTGATGATAATGACAACCACACACAAAGGGGCGCCTCATTTTGCTGCAGCCTAGAGTCACAAAAAAGCGGACTGGTAATAACAGCAATCCCCCAAAGCAGCGGTTCTCAACCTGTGGGACCCCAGATGTTGTTGGACTACAACTCCCATCATCCCTGAGCTCTGGCCTTGCTAGCTAGGGGTAATGGGAGTTGTAGTTCAACAACATCTGGGGACGCAAGGTTGAGAAAGGGTGTCAAAATACAGTGGTACCTCGGGTCAAGTACTTAATTAGGTAGTTCCGGATGTCCGTTCTTAACCTGAAACTGTTCTTAACCTGAAGCACCACTTTAGCTAATGGGGCCTCCCGCTGCCGAAGCACGATTTCTGTTCTCATCCTGAAGCAAAGTTCTTAACCTGAAGCACTATTTCTGGGTTAGCGGAGTCTGTAACCTGAAGTGTATGTAACCTGAAGCGTATGTAACCTGAGGTGCCACTGTATATTAAAAAATGTCCAGTAGCACCTTAGAGACCAACTAAGTATCTGAAGAAGTGTGCATGCACACGAAAGCATATACCAAGAACAAACTTAGTTGGTCTCTAAGGTGCTACTGGACAATTTTTTAAATATATTTCTACAGCGTCAGGCCAACACCTGAATCTACCTGAACCCCAAAGGGTGTGTGTGCCTTATTAGCCCCCAACGGGCGCATTGTTTTGCCCCAGCCATGAGCCACCACCAACCAGGGGACCCAGAATGGTAGCATTAACCTTATTGATCACAATAACGCCAAGGGGGCGCCTCGTCGGGCCCCGGCCTGCTTCCCCCTCCGCCTCGGCCCGAGCGCGGCCCTTCCGGCCTGCGGGGCTCCGGCTGCTCCACCTGAGGCGGATGCTGATCCGGCTGCCACGTCGCCCCGAGTGACACGGCAGCCCGGAGGCCTCGTGAGGCGGCGGAGGCGGAGGCGGAGGAGGAGCCGGGCCCGCTAGGCCGAGCCGGGCCCAATCGCGGGCCAGGCAGGGAGCCTGCGCCCCTCGCCCGCCGCTCCTCTGTCCGCGGGAGGAGGAGGAGACGCCGTTGCCGCCGCCGCCGCCCGCCTCCTCAGCCGCCAGTCCCCGCCGGCCCGTCAGCGAGGAAGCGCCTGTCCAGCCTCCCAGCCGCCCTGCTCGGTCTCCTCAGGCGCCACCATGTGCGGTGAGGAAGGAGGGAAGGAAGGCGGCCGGTGGGGAGGGAGGGATGGAGGCTGCCCCGCTGGGAAGGCTGGCGAGGTGGGCGATGCTGAGGGGCCAAAGCCAGGGCGAGGCGGCTTCTCTCGAAAGCTTTGCCCGCTTCCCTCAGGGCAAACGGCAGCGGGTTGGGCTAGATGACCCTCGGGCCCCTTCGTGCTCTACGGCCGCATGCAGTAGCCTTTCCTCAGCCCATGTGCAGAGTGCCCCTGAAGAGGGGAGGGAGGGGGCAAGGCCAGGCCCTCAGGGCAGCACCTGCCTCTCTTCTGGGCCCCCATTCGGAGCTGCTTCCTCCTCCACCTCACTTGCTCTACTCCTCCAACTCTTTCGCCATCATTGTAGAGAGGGGCCTCGGGAAAGACCCAGGGGCTGAGCCCGGCCTCCCCCTCCCCTGTCAAAAGTCCGACGCTGGCTCTCTTGAGCATGTGCAGAGTGCCTTCGCCTTCAGGGTGGTTCGGAAGGGAGATATTAGGAGGGTAGTGGGGACAGTGTGAATGTGCAGATGGAAATCGGGTGGGTGAGAGAGATGGTTTGTTTACAGGCAACCTCATGTTTGAACATTGCGGAGCAATTAGGAAACCTAAATAAGTTGTATTTTAATCAGTTGTTTGTATACCTGGTGTTAGCTGCCCTGAGCCTGGTCTTGGCTGGGGAGGGTGGGGTATAAATAAAATTTATTATTATTATTTATTATAAAGCAAAATCAGGAAAATAATGAAGGGGGGGGGGAAAGCTCTACAACTGGTTTAGTAATAGTGGTACCTCGGGTTACAGACACTTCAGGTTACAGACGCTTCAGGTTACAGACTCCGCTAACCCAGAAATAGTACCTTGGGTTAAGAACTTTGCTTCAGGACGAGAACAGAAATTGCGCTGAGGCAACGGGAGGCCCCATTAGCTAAAGTGGTGCTTCAGGTTAAGAACAATTTCAGGTTAAGTACGGACCTCCAGAACTAATTAAGTTCTTAACCCGAGGTACCACGGTAGTGATCCAGTACTGTAGTAGTAGAGGTAGTAGTAGTAGTGGCATTAGGGTCTGTGGTGCTTTGAAGACCAGTAGCATAAGCAAAACACAGGTCTCTGCCCCAAGGAGCTTACAGCCTAAATCTTACGCGGGTGCGAAGTTGAAGGGGACAAATGTCTTGAGGGACTGGCGCAAGTGAGGCTTGTGGGGAAATTAGCATGAGAGTAGACGAGTGTGTGATATTGGGAAAGCGGGTTTAGATTGCTGATGATAAGGAAGGGGGTGAATTGGCAGAATTCAGCAGGGAGATATTTTCAACTTCGTTTTCCGTTAAGCTTAGGGTGGCTAAATACAACAATATGGCAATATGTTAACCTAGAAATATAAAGGGGAACAAGGGGTGGGAAGGGGTGGCAGCCATCCGTGCAGTAGAGGAAGAGCATAGGTGTGTGTCAGACAGGTAGACAGGTAGAAAAGCAGATTTGCCTGTTCAGGAGCTACTCCACACCAACTTCAGGGCTGTCTGCCTTTCTAGCAACTTGTACTGAAGCTAGGGTTTGCTAGTGGTGCTGGTGTTGGTAGGTGGAAGGGCTGTTTCTATATCTCTGGCTTGCATGTAGGTTTTTACTCTTTGCATGGTGTTTGTTTTGTGCACTGAGCTGCTTACGGTGGTTCCAGAAAGATTTAAGATTTCATTGAATCCCCATTTGACGTTGTGTTTGCACATTGCCTACAAGCACATCCTTTTGATGTGTTGAAAGATGCTGTTTAACCTTACTGAGTTTCAAAAGCAGCTTCTAACGTGGCACAGAAGTAGTGGGGACGTGGAATAAGAAAAGAGAGTCCTCTTATGTAGGCAAAAGGCAAGGGGTGTTTGGATCAATTCCAGAGGCATCATCATTAATAAGATCATCGCTAATAAGAGATTAAATGAAAAAAAAATTATTTTGCAGCTTTTTTCTTTTTAAAAACGTTGTGAGATGACTACTATGAAATACATATTAAAAGTACCAAAAAGAAAGAAAAGAAACACTTCAGAGCACAGCAAAAATGACATAATAAAAGTATAAAGAAGAGATGCTAGGCACATATCTCTGGTGATGATGTTCCACTATGTGGTGCATAGTTAAACTATGGAACTCCCTTCTCCAGGAGGCAGTGATGGCCACCGACTTGGATGGCTTTGAAAGAGGATTGGACAAAGTCATGGTGGAAAGGGCTCTCATTGGCTGCTAGCCAGGATGGCCGGCCTCTGCCTTCATGGTCAGAGGCAGCAATGCTTTTGAAGACTAGTTGCTGGAAACCACAGGAGAGGAGAGGCCTTGTGTGCTCCATTCCTGCTTGCTGGTTTCCTGCCGGCATCTGGTTGGCCACTGTGAGAACAGGATGCTGGACTAGATGGGCCATTGGCTTGATCCAGCAGGCACCCCTTCTATTCTTAAATTCATAAAGGGTGCAACTACAGATGAGGCTCCCTGATCTTCACCCGCTTAACTTATTCAGAGATCTTAATGATAAGACTGTCTCATTATTTTAATAATATTGGAAGTGTGTATGTATATAGTTCTTTTTGTGTTTGGGATGCTTCATGTGCATACATTTATCAACTGCTTCGAACAATATATAAATTTTACGAAATAAATTAAATCAAAACACATGACCCCACTCATCCTTACAAATTCCTTCTAAGTTACCGTAAGTTGTTCAATATGATTCTCCCCATATTCCAAAGGACTAGGCGCCAAAAAAAAAAAAGCAGAATTGGCTTGCTTGAGGCCACCTAGTGAACCAGGACCTTCTGGTTGAGTCCTGAATTATCATTTGCAATCTCTAGGTGTGCAGACATAGCATAGGTCTATATGTGCTTATTGAATCCCAGCCCATCTAGCCAATTGTGCACACTGGCAGTGGTTCGCCTGGGTTTATAGCAGGAGTCTTTTCCAGCTGCACCCGGAAGGTGTTGGAGATGGAACATGCTCTGCCACTGAGCCCTTCCCCATATATCAACTATTCTTTTGGCTTTCTTAACACTAAGGATTTCTATTGTACTCTGTCACCTTCAGGTATTGGTGTGGGGGGTTTTTTTGATGTGGGACAGAGGTTCACAAGAAATTTCTCCTGAAGAGCAAAGTGAAGAAGAGCTGCAGTCACAGTTTGCTCATGTGCATTTAATGCTATGCAAATTTGCCTCAGAAAATGGAAAATGGGGCAGTGCTAAGAATAGAATAGGCAATTTATGCTATAAATAGTTTGCTGTGAGCACAGTTCAAGTCTTTCTGTGAATTCAATCTTGGGAATGTGTGGGATTCTCAGATTGCATAGCATAATCTGTTCTTTGTCTACAAACATATCCTTTAAAATATTTCTGAATACAGTTATAGACTCTTGACTGTCTTGTTCCAAAATGAGAAAGCAGAATTTTGTGCCTTTAGAGTGATGCAGACTGACAAAGCCCAATGCCTTTTCTTCAGGTCATATTTCTGAGGGGATTATTTCTCTTGCATGGTTGAAATTGTAGGGTTTATTGCCCTTGCAGTTTTATCTTTACCCTGACATTTCTGTATCTCACTTGCTTATTCTTTGATGGAATAAGTATAATTCATCTATTGTTAACAGCCCAGGTAGAATGTAGATGTCCAGACAAACCAGTGTAGCAGATATACCTTGTTCATAGTTGAATGTGAAACTCATAACCAGTTTAAACTTGCTGCAGAGGTAAGGATGGGAGCAAATCTTACAAGATCACTTTCTTTTAATAATTAAACTGGTGCAGCATCAAACTGGAATAATTTCAAAATCTGATACGTTATTCATAGCTTAGTGGGTTACATTGCCAGGGGTGGGAGAGGGGGGTTGACTACAGGACTAAGAGCAGATTCCAAGCATTGATTTATAGGTAAATAAGAAATGCCCGAACTGACAGAGCAGTTTTTTTCCTGTTCCGCAAAATAGAGTGAGATTGTTGGCTCTTCGTAAATGGGTAGTTTGTTCTGGTTTTCAGTGTACAACTAAAATTTGGGATCTGACTTGCTGTGAAATTGTCCACCCTAGTAGAGCACACAGTGTTCATTTCTGACCATTTGGTTTGACTAAGTGTAGAGACTGGTGCTCTGTTTAACATCTACAGTGAAATAAATATTTCTACATTAATTTGTCTGAGCAATTTTTATCCTGCCCTTCAGCGCAAGTGCTCTCATAGCAACTTAGCATATCCAAAGGATCTCTCTCCACCGTGCCTCTTAACCCCAGTATGAGCTATGGGGCCAACTAAAACATTTTTGTTGCATGTGGTCATCCTTTACCTTCTCTCTGTTCCTTTCTCTCACTCCCCCTTTTAAATTTCCCCTGCATTCTATCATTCTGCTGTGTTCTGTATCGTCTTCCAGAAAGCTTAACCCATACCTTAAACAAGTACAAAAGGAAGTGTGGCACCTGAACCAATCTGGTTTAGGCTGGGCTGCAATCAAGAGTCTGGTCTCAACCCACCAGCTGAACCTTCATGTTTCACAGCCAGGTGTTGCCACCAGGAGTGAAACAAGCACCTGCTCTTCCTTCTGCTGGGTGGCTTCCAATTTCTTGCTGATATCAAGCTAAGGAGGCCTATAGAATTCTTTTGACTTCAAAGTTACACAAACACAACCCTTCTTAAACCCCCCTATTTTTATCTGAATTCTGAAGTAGTGACTTGCAGTAGTCATGGCTGAACACAGCTGAATTTGTGAATTCTAACTGGGCTCTCTCAGAAGAGGAACAGCAGGAAATAAACTACTTTAAAAGGGAGGATGATAGCTTAGGAGCAGAGCTTCTGCTTTCCATGCCAAAGGTCCCTGGTTTGATCCCCACCATCTCCCCAGGTAGGTTAGGGAAGACTCCTCCCAGCAATGCTGCAGAGACCATGGCCAGTTGGTGTTGACGGGGCTACGGTCTGAAGTTTAGCTATACAATTTTCTGTTTTATCTGTGGTGAATCACAGTTGCCCCCAGGCACGTTTTGGAGTTGCAAACTGCCCTTTAGGCAGCTCTGAGTGGGGCTATGTCTGGAGACCCCCATGGGCAGCCTTGTGCTAGCCTTGCATTCTGCTGACTGCATTGGTCTATGCTTTCCTAGTGTTTGAAACTTAGGGAGCCCCTGCACCGCCAGTAGTAATTATTAGCGCAGATATCTAGCCTTACAGAAGTGACCTATTGGAAAACTTACAAAGGAAAACATATTGGAAATACAGTGGTACCTCGGGTTACATACGCTTCAGGTTACATACGCTTCAGGTTACAGACTCCACTAACCCAAAAATATTACCTCGGGTTAAGAACTTTGCTTCAGGATGAGAACAGAAATCGTGCTCCGGCGGTGCGGCAGCAGCAGGAGGCCCCATTAGCTAAAGTGGTGCTTCAGGTTAAGAACAGTTTCAGGTTAAGAACGGACCTCCGGAACGAATTAAGTACTTAACCCAAGGTACCACTGTATAGGATGTGACAGCTATGTGAAATAGCTGCTAGGAGGTTGGGCACTGATTCTTGTAATTTTGTAATATATTACTGTACTTTAGGTGACAAATTATATTTGCTTCCAAACAATAAGGTAGAGAGTTTTGACCTGCCAAAAGTTAGTGATTCTTCTTTCCATCTGCCCCTTTTAGGTGGCTCTCTAGATGAGCTAATAACAGTTCTTCTTGGGAACTTATTTTCAACCCTGTCGTCACAGAATTTACATAGAGAACATTTCCTCCTATGGACTATGATCTTATTTATGAGCTGAATGAGTAAATTTATTTCACTGTAACATTTTACTTCCTTTCTTCTTTTCAACTCATGCAAATGAGGAAGTGGTCTTGGGAGTGTGCTGTGTATGATTAGTTGGTAAAAATATGTGATTAGCAGCACACCTTAAAATTAGTGTAGTGCTTGTACACTGGAGGGAGCAAGGGCTAAGGTAGGGTTGCCATATGTCCAAAGTTTCCACAGACATAGCTAGAATTTGGCCATCGGAAACAGTGTCTGAGTAAAAAGCACTGAAATGTCAGGGAAACTCTGGACGTATGGCAACCCATGTTGGAAGTGTAGATGTTGGCAAATTTCCTTAAAAATAGCTTGAAAGCGTCTTTATTTTTTTGAGATTGGGCAAAATGAAAAAAGCCATGCATCAGAATGATTTGCAATATCCAGCCAAAAATTATGAAACCGATAGCATGATAGGGGCTTCAAGCTGGTTTTGAACAATATATCAATATATCGCCTAGCCATGAACAATAAATCTGTGGAATGTGCTTCTTTCCCCCTGGGGTCAACCAGTGTTGGCTTGCCATATTAACTAAGAAATCCCACAGCTTTTTGGGTGTCTCCAAGGCTTGTGGTATAAGGCTGGCACTTCTTTAGGCATGGTGCAAATGTGGGGTGTGTGTGTCTCTCTCTGTTTCCATGCTCTCACCAGAGCCAAAGATATGCTTGCTGGTAGATCACAGGTCAACATTTGTCCCTAGATGAGGGACCATAAGCTGCTAGGAAGAGGAAGAGGAAAGGGATGAGGTGTCTGGTGAACTGAAAGCACACCATGGTAACAGGCTGCTAATTCTGTGTGGGGCAGATCTTTGGCTACAGCTAAAAGAGCAGCGTTTGCCAACATGGTCTTGCTGACCCACCACAAGCACCCTGTTCACATGGTTCTGACTTATACGAGTAATTTGAATACTGAAGCAGCCTTGAATGATGGCTGGACTGAGCCAGGGAGCCAGTGGAGCGTTGAGCAAGAAAGTGGGCCCTTTTCCTGAGGCAAGATTGACTGCTGCTAAAAGCAGACAGTCTTGTCCAGGGGTCAGCAAACTTTTTCAGCAGGGGGCCAGTCCACTGTCCCTCAGACCTTGTGGGGGGACCGGGTTATATATTTTTTTATTTTAAAAATGAACAAATACCTATATCCCACAAATAACCCAGAGATGCATTTGAAATAAAAGCATACATTCTGCTCATGTAAAAACACCAGGCAGGCCCCACAAATAACCCAGAGATGCATTTGAAATAAAAGGACACATTCTATTCAGGTAAAAACACGCTGATTCCTGGACTGTCTGTGGGCTGGATTTAGAAGGCGATTGGGCCGGATCCGGCCCCCGGGCTTAGTTTGCCTACCCATGGTCTTGTCAGTGGTGGCCCCCTGTCTTTGCAATGGCTTCCCAAAAGAGATCCGCTCCCTTGGTCATTCTAGGAGGGGTTTGTGTTTTTTTTTTGGCCAGCTGTGCACCTTTTTGAGAGGTAAGGGCTAGAATTTGAAAGAAATGTGAACGGTTGCTGTTGGGGGTGGTCATTGTTAGGCAGGGGTCAGCAACCTTTTTCAGCCGTGGGCCGGTTCACCATCCCTCAGACCATGTAGTGGGCCGGACTATATTTTGGATAAAAAAATAGAACGAATTCCTATGCCCCACAATTAACCCAGAGATGCATTTTAAATAAAAGGACACATTGAGAAGGTGATTGGGCCACATCCGGCCCACGGGCCTTAGGTTGCCTACCCCTGCTGTAAGGATTAGCCTAGGCAAGAATGAGAATATTGAGACTCAGTCTAGTTGTGAGGACAGCACCCAGATGTCCTCCAGTCCAGTTACGTAGAAAGGGGTGGGGGAGTAGCAAGGTCTCTCCCCATTGCTTACATCCCTCCAGTTCATGCATTTTTCTTGCATCTGACTTTGGAGCATGTCTAAGGAGAAGAGCACCAGGTGGGATAGACAGACTTTCAGCAAGATCAATTGTGCCAGTTCCAAAAGTTAATCAGTCTCTTCTTTGTTTTTTCTTAGTTATATTGGGGTGGGGAGGGTTCTAAAGCTCTTCTCTTGAGTTGGAATGCTTTACTGCAGTGAAGTGCTCGTAATTACCAACTTTGTTGGCTATAATGAAATTGAACACTTCCTTGTAGCCACTGGGAGTTGACAACCTGTCTGAAATCTTGATAAACTGGAATATCATGACTTAAGCTCCCCACCCGGCTTCCTCCCCTGTTTCTTGTGCTTGCCCACTTTCTAAGAAAGTGTGAGTAAGGCAGTGCCCTTTCACAGAGGGAGTTCATGCATGGAGATTATAAGGGATTTCCTTATAAATCTCAAATGCGGTATGTATTGAGCATGCAAGTCATTATTGTGACAAGGCAACTCGTTTGTTGTGCTCGAGAGGTAGGAGCACATTATTGACTTTCCAGGTGCTATTTTCTGAGACTTCCCAGGAATTGTGGGATCCATGGATTTGTTATTGCTTGGGGTTGACCCATTGGGTTTACTCTGATTTGAACTCGCACTGAATATATCCTACAGTGTCTAAAAAGTAAAAGTTCCAGAATGTGTGGTGTATTTTTTCTCATGCAGATGGTAGCAGAGATGAGGCCTAAATCAGGGGATGTGGAGCTACTGAGATAATTTAAAAAATCCACAAGAAGCCTGCTAGATTTTCTAGGACCGAATCAAACAAGGGTTTTTTGGGGTTTTTTTTGAAGGAAGGCTGTAATGCAAACTCAAAATTTTTTATCCTACATCCTTGCACTCCATTCTAGAGTTTGCAGAGTGGAGCCACTTCATTGCACTCATCTAGAATATGTTTTATACTTTTAAATGTTTTTTAAATTTTATTTATTATTTTATTTATATCCCATCCTTCCTTCAAAAAACCCCTTCTTAATGGATCCTTCTCTCGTCCCTGCAGTTGCTTTTACATTCTCTCTGTTTTGTAAATGTAGCAAAAAAAATGTGCTTTTTCTTCCTGTGGCTTGTAATGTTTTATAAAAATGAGTTTATTTACAACACTTTGGGGACTGTGCTAATAGAAATCCTACACAAGCGTTGTTTCAGTTCATAGTTGTGGTTACAAAGTGAAATGCAGTATTGCATGTATATAGTCTTTGTTTTAATTTTTAATCAATCTTGCAGGCATCTTTGCTTACCTGAACTACCATGTTCCCCGGACAAGACGGGAGATCCTGGAGACCCTCATCAAAGGGCTTCAGCGACTGGAGTACAGAGGATATGACTCTGCTGGTAAGCTGCTCACCCTGTCTTTGGATTCCTTATCTTTCAAACTTTTTTTCTGTGGATATGGTTTTAAAAGTATGTGGTTGCCAGTAAATTCATGGTCTGCAGTGTGTAAGAAGCAAGGCTTGGTGTGACTTATTCCACCTTTCAGTTCACATGCAACAAGTTTACATGTTTAGTTGTATATCTTCGACATAAACAGTTATGTGCACAGGTATTTGGATGAAGTTTAAATCTCACTAGGCTTTTTGAGATGTCTTTTCCCAATGAAAGAAATGTCATTTTCCTCACAGAAGCTGTATTGTTTGACAAGAGTCTAACGGCTAACATAACTGACCCTGTGCAGTTGGAATGCTTGGATATTCTTCAATGTCCCAGCAATGCTAAAAGGGAACACCTAGGCAATGTTATGTTTCTAAATCTTGCACTGGCTTTTCTTGTAATTATGTACAGCCATAATGTTCTGAAACCCTGCAATTTTATTCTAGCCTGTAGAAAAATGATTGTGGAAGTTAGGTTAATGATCTTGGAAAGCAGACCAATTAATATTTCAAGCCAAATGAGGTGTGTGTGATTCACCTTAAATTTTCTGTGTATTAGGAGTTGGAATTGATGGAGGCAATGATAAAGACTGGGAGGCCAATGCTGGCAAAATTGCACTCATCAAAAAGAAGGGGAAAGTGAAGGCTTTGGATGAAGAAGTGAACAGTAAGTCCAGTCCTACACAATCCACCTTTTCTCTTTGGTGGTCTTTGTACCTGATCTCAATACCATTCAGCAACCGTCTTTCAATGCATTGTTAGGTACAAACTGAAAACACTTCCCAACACATTCTGTGCTCATTGGTACACTAAATGATAAACTATATATTCATTTTTATAATGCAGTTCTCAGATAAATCGAATTTACTAATCCTTCCTGCACGTCTGCCTTGCCTGTTGAGAGCAAATATAGAGATATAGCATGATCCCTTGTTGTTGGGTCATTCTTTGGCCAGTTAGACTCAGACATCTCAGTCACCTTTGGAACACAGACTCTTCCTCTCTCTCTCTGGTTATAGTAGAGGCAGCATGAATAGAGAGAATGGTAGCGGAGAGTATGCATGAAGAAAAAGTGTTCACAAGATAGCGGAATTCACATACTCTGCATTGTCTTGTCCATCTCCTTCCAGAGTGGACAGCTGAGACCTCATTTCTTGTCTGTTACTGATAAACTAGTGTCATATAAACTGATAACAGCAGATAGCGAGAAACTACTGAAGTTCCCAACAGTGGATTTATTCACATGCATCACCAAACCATGGCTTGATGCTGCTTGAGTGGCCTCATACGTGTTCCCCTCCATCCCTCACATTATGTCAGGCACAGGCAAACTCCGGCCCTCCAGATGTGTAGGACTACAATTCCCATTATCCCTGACCACTGGTCCTGTTAGATAGGGATGATGGGAGTTGTAGTCCCAAAAATCTGGCGGGCCGGAGTTTGCCTATGCCTGCATTATGTGCTCCAATGCAAGTTACTTCCTCTTTAGCACAAACCAGAATTTGCTGTTAAACTAGCTAGCCAACTATGTTTTGGGCTTCCTCTCCAAACTGGGACCACCAACCAAACCATGGATGGAAGCTGGTTTGCAGTCCTGCATTGGAGGGCACATACAAATCATAGTTCAGCTGTTAGGGAATTTGCAGTAAAGGCAAAAATAAAGAATTAAAATGGAATGTGTGAGTAGAATCCTTGTTCATATTGCAGCCAATGATTTAGTTTATACAGCAGTTATGTATTTCTGTTGCTGCTGGTCTTAGGAATTGTTTAAATCAAATGTTGATGTTCTAAGCATGGTAAATTGATACAGCCACAAAACAAGATGGTATTTTCTTAACTTTCTATGTACTAGAAAAAATGCAAGTATTAAATTGGTATGATCTCTGGGTGGGAAAACGGTAAACAATGGAGAAGCAAATGTCTCATGTTTTGCGTTCCGTTCAGTGCCCTCTATTCAGGAAACAACAGTGTGTGCTAAAATTGTGGATAATACTTTGTTTTAAACTATGGCTGTTTTCAGAGAGGCATGGTGGAGGACCTCTGCATTGTGAACTTACTTTTATCTTAAATGTTGCTGACTGAGATGGCTGGCTTTAGTCAGAACTTAGGTCGGGGTGGTTGACGTTTTTTGTCCCAAGCCACATTCCCTTCTGACATCCTTCCAGGGGAACACATGCCAATGATGGGCAGGCCCAGAAGAAAAAGTTGGTAGAGTAATGAATTTAAACATTGCCTTTGTTCATGAGGCTGCTTTCTACAATCACTCATTCCCCTCTCTGTCTGCCATCCAGATCAGCAAGAGGCGTGATTAGAGCTGAGATACACATTTCAGCCAGGCAAAAACACTCCAGCAGGGTGCAGAGTATGGCTGGTATGGGGGGGGTGGCCTAGGGAGAGTCCTGAGGGCCAGATAGAGAGGTCTGAAGGGCCACATTTGATCTTTAGCCCAGAGTTTCCCCACCTATAATTTATGTGTTAGGGACGCGGTTGGCGCTGTGGGTAAAAGCCTCAGCGCCTAGGGCTTGCCGATCGAAAGGTCGGTGGTTCGAATCCCCGCGGCGGGGTGTGCTCCCGTTGCTCGGTCCCAGCGCCTTCCAACCTAGCAGTTCGAGAGCACCCCCGGGTGCAAGTAGATAAATAGAGACCGCTTACTGGCGGGAAGGTAAACGGCGTTTCCGTGTGCTGCGCTGGCTCACCAGATGCAGCTTTGTCACGCTGGCCACGTGACCCGGAAGTGTCTCCGGACAGCGCTGGCCCCCGGCCTCTTAAGTGAGATGGGCGCACAACCCTAGAGTCTGTCAAGACTGGCCCATACGGGCAGGGGTACCTTTACCTTTTAATTTATGTGTTGGTGGAAGTGGACCACTTAACACATGCAAAAGACCTGTAAATGTTAGAAAAGAGCTCACATTCATGAGTAGCCTGAAAGCCTTGGCCTACTTCGTAAAGCCTCACTGAAGCCAGTGGGTGATGTCAGCTGAAACCTTTCCTTCCATTCAATAAGAGTAGGGGATCCTCTTAGGAATGAACTTTCCCCCACTTTACATAGAACAACAGGATATGGACCTGGACATTGAGTTTGATGTGCATCTTGGAATTGCCCATACCAGATGGGCCACCCACGGCGAGCCCAGTCCTGTCAACAGCCACCCACAGCGATCCGATAAAAACAATGGTAAGACACCGCTGTTACTTTTTGGTGGGTGTGAGGGATGATGTGACCCTTTGACTTTTGTTGTAGCTTCTGATGGCTGGTTCAAAGTTGATAAAGTGTCGGGCAGGCAATATTCCCGGACAGCTGTGTCCATCTTCTTGAATAAAGTACCAGGTAGCAAGACATGTAAGAAGTAAATCTTGGTGGTCTTAGCTTTTATTTCCAGGTGGGAGGAGGCAGATAGTCAGACCGGAGAGCCCCAACAAACCAAAAATCAGCTGCATTGGGAAACAGAATTTGGACTGTTTCAAGTTAAAAACAAGGCTGGTCTCAACTCCTTTAAAATATGCAGAATGTTCGCTAATGATTTTAAAATAGCTTTTTAAAAAAGTGAGTCGTGGATTACAGAATAAATCATATATTACCTTACAGAGATTTTCAGAAAAGGTTAAATTTAAGTATTCACTAATTATATTGTTTCTAGATAAAAAACCTGTGATCTGAGGCACTGTAATGACTGCTATAAAGCCCTGCTGTTAGTATTGCACTAAGGTTAAAATACTACCAAAGTTACAAGCATGGGTTATAATTCCCATTAATCTGTTGTAAGGGTTCGTTTAATCTGTTAAGTGTCTTAATTCTAAAGGCTCCTCGGGGCTGAAATTGAGCTGTCGGCTACCTTGTACTTTGTTGATACATCCTGTTTAGCATAGGCAACTGCCATTCCTGGTGTAGTTAGTACAGAAAACAATTTTGGGTAATGGCCCACATGGAAGATGGCCTACATTCTCTCTTACATTAGGAAATTGAACTGTAAATGGGTCTGGGATAAAGTAAATTAATCCTGCAGTTGGATGCAGCAGGTGGCATTAAACTACTCTAAGTTAAGCAGCCCAGCAGGGATTGTACTTTCTTTATGAAATTCGACCATCCATCTATCATGTGCTTGTGCTTGGCTTGGCTTTGGGAATCCTAGTTTCTGTTTCAGGCTTTTGCCTTTGAACAAGGTGCTTGGCACCTCTCTTTTCTTCTCTATTGCTTCCCTATTTTTTGCGGGCTCTTTGATGATCCTAGCTCCTAAAGTGTTTTCTCCCCCCTGTGTTGCAGAATTTATTGTTATCCACAATGGCATTATTACAAACTACAAAGACCTGAAGAAATTTTTGGTAAGTGAAGCTCCTTGTGCTGTGATGTGAGTTTAAACAAAGTGGGAAGTCTGAATCTGCTTGTGTTTGTATCGCAGGAGAGAATCACTTGGGCCTGGTAGTTTTGTTCCCAAATTATGCCAGCATTCTTTGGATGCTGAGAAGGGAGACACTTGAGAAGCCTTTGAAGTATCTATTACATGAGCTGGTGCATGTTCCACTGGTATCTTCTGTGTCACCCTGTGAAGTGCCTTAGGGATGCAGGACGGCACCTTATCTCAATTCAGGTTGTTGCTTCATCTCATGCTGTACTCTCTGCACCAGGCTTCCCCAAACTGATGCCCTCCAGTAGTTTTGGACTATAACCATAACTATAACTCTCAACAGCCGCAGCCAGCATTGGTAGCAGCTCTCCCTTTCCTGCCTGCAGATTGCATTTGGGACCTTCTGCAATCAAAGCATGCACTCTTGTCACTGAGTTTATGGGCCTTCCATGAACATTAGTGGCGTTATATAATAAAGAATATTACAATCTTACCAAAGCTGGATAATTTTATCTTGCTTCTCATTTCTTTCAGGCTTAAGTGTGTATTGTGATCATGTGTCTATTAGGTTAATGGTACTGTATTGACTTCAGATGAAGTAGTAGAATTAAGAAATCTAAGGAGCAGATGAATGTACTTCCAGGAATAGTTTTCAAGGTGCCACAAGACTTTTTGTGGTGTTTGCTGCCACAGACAACACAGCAACCCCCTCTGAAATTTTTCTTTGCAAAAGAGGTTGTGGGGCTATTAATTGTTTGCGCTCATATGTGGCACCAGATATATTATCAGCTGCTCTAGAATGCTATTGCCACTCTTCCCCTCCCTAAACGACAAAAATTGAATCCCAACCCATTCTAGCCTTTGAGAACTTTGCCATTGGGTTCCATACTAGCTTGGTTGCATTGTGTGGTTATCATCTGCTCTGCTTTCTGTAGGAGCGCAGCAGTGAGCTGGAACCATGCCCTTCAATACATGGTACTTTTGCTTCTGCATTCCTTTATTCTGTTTGATTCTTTCTCTGAGCAGGAGAACTTGAAATTAATGAATGAAAGTAGAGCAGTTGTAAGAAACAGGAGCAGCCTGTGCAATATTTTTAGAATATGGTTGCTATGATACAAAAATAGTGTGTAGTAGATATTCCCTTGTCCATGTGCCATGTTCCATATTTCCATTGTTTTGACTAACACAAGTCATACTTTTTAAATGTTTTTTTCAGGAAAGCAAAGGTTATGAATTTGAGTCCGAGACTGATACTGAGACAATTGCTAAACTTGTCAAGTACATGTATGACAACCGTGAAAGTGACGATATCAGCTACACCACATTGGTAGAAAGGGTCATCCAACAGCTGGTAATTCTACATTTTTTCGTAAAACACTTATCACCCATAGGAGACAATATACAATTCTTACGTTTTACCAGACCTTTTAATATGTTTCATGGTGAGGTTTCAGGAATTGCTTAGTCCATTGCTGGTATAGAGCAATCTGCTTTCTCTTACAGCTGCTTAAGTCAGCAATGTAAGACATCCCTGCATTGCTGGGGGTTGGACTAGATGACCCTCTGGGTCCCTTCCAACTCTACAATTCTATGACTCTATGAAAAGCAAAGAGCAAATGAAAGAGCCAGGATCCTGTTTGCAACAGTAATGTTAGTTCATAGCGTTTACCAAACTAGATGTAAGTTAATTGACTAATTTAGAGAACATCCTGTGATACTCAGACTAGGGATGAGGATGAGGATGAGATAATAATAATAATAATAATAATAATAATAATAATAATAATAATAATAGTACCTCTCAGCAGCTCTTGTTATAGTCAGTCACAGTGTTGAAATCCTGTTCATCCAGATTGGTCTTGGGAGTCTTTTCTTGTGGAACAATTAAGGTTCTGTTGAAGAAGTTCTGCTTTATCCTATGACCGTTGACTTATACGGTGCCACAAGAGCCTAGCCTGCCCCCTCCACATGCTTTTTAATGTCTGCATGAAACTTCCAGGAGAAACATAAGGACACAAGAAAAGCAAATTCTAATCAGTTATCTGGAGATTTGGCTTGAGGTGTTGCCAGCTGTGACACACAGCTCCTTCTCTTGTTTCCAACTTCTCATCCCTCTTGAAATCCTGAAGGTGGTCCTGGGTGGGTGAGGGCAAACAATCTGAGATTATATCCAGATAAGACAGAGCTGGGTAGGGAGATTGCCTGCTCCCAAGCTTGATGGGCTGCTGGTCCGGAATGGGGCTACTTTGTCCCTGAAGAACCAAGCGCATTCTCCTGGACATTGATGCTAACTGGGAAAGCCAAGAAAATAGTGGTGGCATTTTACCAGCTTGGATTGTCTCACCAGCAAGAGAGGTTGGCTCTTGCAAGTCACGTTCATACTGGACTACTGCAGTGCACTGTACCTGGGGCTGCCTTTTAAAGGTGGGTTTGAAATTTTTGACAGTCCAGAGTGCAGTGTCCCAAATTTTATTGGGAACTGGGTGGTAGGAACATGAGATAGTCCTACTGTATCAGCTGACCTGGTTACTAGTGCATTTATAATGCTGATTCTGACTTTTAAAGGCTTAAAGTGTTTTGTGTCCGAGATATTTGAAGGGTTGCCTTCACTTGTGCCAAGCTCCTGGTGCTCTGAGGTCAGCAGCGGGGCCCCTTTTAATTTGCTGCCTCCAAAAGCAGTGGAAGCCAGAGGGGCAGCCCCACAGCTTTGGAATTGACCACTTGTTCATGGCTTCCCTAAAAGGTTGGTCTGCTTCTGCTGTTAGCTTTGATGATACTGTACTTCAGTAATTTTAGGTGGTTTCCCTGGTCTCTCAGTATACTGTTTCTGAGACTTTTAAGCTGCAATGTATTGTAAGCTGCCTTGAAAGAGTTTTCTCCCAAAGGCTGCATATTAATATTTTAATTAAAACATTTAAATGATGTTAACTAAAAAAGTAAAGTGTTTGTTTGTTTTTCCACAAGGAAGGTGCATTTGCCCTTGTATTCAAGAGTGTTCACTATCCTGGTCAAGCAGTTGGAACCAGGTAAATACCGTCCCAGTAGTATGCTCTGTGTTTCTCTAGGTCATTTTCATTATTTGTGCACCCACACCCTCTTTTTGATAGGCGATCATAGATTTTAGCCAATTTTGAATTGGAGGAAATTCTCTTTGCCATATCTGTTATGTGACCTTATGGTATAATATTCCCTGTTTTTCATGTTACCTGCTGATGCAAAAATATTCTCTTAGAAAAATGACCCCATTCTTTAATGTTCTTTCCTGCTATCCATGAAGTACCACAAACAGTTCAAAATTAGCAAAACAATTAACATCTTGACTGCAATGACTGTTTGTATTTTCCAGCTGAATCTGGGTAGTTAAAGTCATGTTTGCACTCATATCAGTTCTATAGCTTACTCCAAAAATTGTGAGAATTGTAGTTTGTGAAGGGTCTGGAAACCTCTTTTGAAAATCCTTTGCTTGCCTCACCCAGACCTGTAGTTCCCTTGGTTCCATTGGGTGAAAGAGGGACTTTCAAGGCAGTGATCTTGTTTGCACTTAACTGATCTCTGTGGTACTGACTTTTGAGTAAGCATGTCAGGGATCATCTGATATGTCTAAGGCAGACAAGTCTTCAGATGGTAATCAGTTTGGTTCTTTTAAGATTTTGCTTGGTCTGCACATCATTGCAGTCTCAAAATTCAGGGCTCTTGAGAGTTTGTCTCACAGACTGTGAACATTCAGCTAGTCTGGGATGCCTTTAACTGCATTCTGTCTTGGCTTAAAAGCTGCCCAACTCTGAACTATATAGATCTCGAGTTAGTGCTGTTTGCCATTTGCAGGCTATAATAGAGATCAGATTAGTGAGGTTCCCCCCCCCCATCTTTTTTGTTCTGTGCAATTTTGAAGCTTGGGTCTGTGTCCTGGTCTGACACAAACACACCACCCCAGGCCCATAGCCCTGCCCCCTCCTCACAGGTTGCTTCGCTTGAACTTGCTATCTCCAGGCCAAACTTTCTTCCCCTTGGTTATATCCTTCAACTTGGCTGTGCTGACACTTAGCTAAGCTGCAAATGTGATCAGGCCCTCCAAAGGGAAGAATCAACGCAGAAACCAGTGTTTATTGGCCATGACAGCTGGATGTCTTGTTTTCAGGAGAGGAAGCCCCCTGCTCATTGGAGTGCGGAGTGAGCACAAGCTTTCTACTGACCACATTCCAATACTGTACAGAACAGGTAAATATCACAGCTCGAAGAATTTCTCAACTCATTTTCTTCTTCTTTAATGCAAGTGTGGCAGAAGTGAGAAGTTTGGTACTATCTGCTAAATTAAAACAAAATTTAAAAATTCCTTCCAGTAGCACCTTAGAGACCAACTAAGTTTGTTATTGGTATGAGCTTTTGTGTGCATGCACACTTCTTCAGATATGCTAAATTAACACCTTATTAATATGGAGATGAGATGCTATGGGAGACTTCTAAAAAGCAAACCCTATTGTGCACTGCGTTCCTTAGTTGGATTTGGATTGTGGAAAGTGCAGAAAAATCTAGGTTTGTTCTTATAATGTTAGAAGGTGGGCTCTCCTTCATTGGAGGTTCTTAAGCAGAGTTTGGATGGCCATCTGTCAGGGATTCTTTAGGTTCTTTAGGGGCTCTTCCAACTCTACAGTTCTGTGACCTGCTCTACAACCTGTATTGGCTTTGCAACAGCTGATGCATCACAGTTTCCCTAAACGCATCCCTGTGGTCCTAGTTTTAGCGGAGGTGCTGTGAATCCTTGCTTAGAGAACCCGCTTGGCCTCTTCTTCCCCAACTCTTACAAACCCTGTACTATTCCTAGGGATTTCTGGGCAGAGGGAAGGAATGATTGTTAAATCAATCCACCCTTAGATACACAGGTGAGCAGCTTGGTTGTAAGCAACTCCCCTCATTTTGCATAATATCACTATATACCTTGTGCACATGGCACCTTAGCTGTCTGGTATGAAGACTGACCAGTATCTTCAGCTCGTCTTGTCCCCCAGCAGAACATCCCTGAGGCTTTAGGAATGTATTTATTCCCTTTAACTGGATGGCAACTAATGCTACAGTTCTATAGGCTTGCCTGAGAATTCCAGTATCTCCACAGCAAGGTTTATTGGCCCCTGTGGCGATCACACAGGGTCCCCGGATGTTTCACCGTCTATTGATCCCTGTGCCACCACTTCATTTCTCGCTGCCACCACCCAGGCCCTACCTGGTACAATACTGAGTCCAGTCAGGGTTAAGTTGGAACATAAACTTCTGTTTATTTATTGCAGTTTAACAAGCATGTGGTTTCATAAACAGTCAATTACATTCATGAGCTGCCTATCCAGGCCTATAACTTCTGCTACCTGCTCTCACTCCCTAAACCACCTCTCAGATATTTACTTGTTTTCCTAGCCCCTAACTATTCCTGACTCAGCTTATTTGCTACACTAACTCAACCTACCCACAAACTCTATCCCAATTCACTCCCACTCCAACCAATCACCCAACTCCCAACGAACTCCTCCCTTTGCCCCTCCCAGAGCTGGTTTTATAGTTCCTCTGACTCCACCCCCTGGGTCCTGATTGGGTAACTTGTTTAACTATTTCACCTCCAGCACTCTCATAAGTTAACGTCATAGCCCCTTCTTTATTTATTTTATTTGAATCTCAACTTTCAGCAAGCAGCCCAGGATAGGTGACTGGCTGAACACTGTCTAGCAAAGGTTGTGACTGGGCAGGGGTTCGTAGCTGGGTATCCTCCCACTGTTCTGCTCCAAGTATCTCCATGCTGATGCTTCACCTTTCCATGCAACCTGTCATTTAGTCATGTTATGAAGGTTTATTGGAAGTATCTATCCCAGGTGCAAATGCTAATTCAGGTATTCAGGTGGGACAATGGGTACAGGAGCCCTCTGCTGCTGCTGCTGCAAAACAGCTTCATCTCGGCCCCATGGGACTGAAATTCGCAGGACTTAACACAGCTCAAAAAGCGCCGTGTGAACTGCACTTCCAAGCCAAAAGTCTGCCTTCTGCTTTTCTCTAATTTTTCTTTTAAATTGACATTGCTGAAGTTTCTCTTGTTGTCAATGACAGACTGAAGTTATTTTTTTCATATTGCACTTTCAGCCACACAACCTATGGATCATTCTATTGATGGAATATCCATTAAAATGGAGAAAGGTGCCTGAGACATAATTCTTCATTCAATGAGGAGTCCTGAAAATGAATTAAGACAATCACTTTCTCTTTAATATGTAGCTGATTGCTTTCCATTTGAGAGGAGGGACCAGCTTCACAGGGTATAGTCTGCTACTATGTTCATTTGAGCAGAACCTTTCATTCCTTAGCCTGCTTTTCTGGGTGCAGAAGTGCATACAGAAACAGTGTTCTTGGATTTTGATTGTCAAGATGTATAACCTTGTTTGTTCAATGGAAAGTGATGGCAACATATTAAAGAGATGGCATTGGGGCGGGAGATTCTGCATGCGAGAATCCTAATGGGGCTTTCCCACTTAACCAAAAGGTCCTCTGACTCCTCTCTCGCCTTCTCTGGTTTCTCTGCCTTCTGCTGATTTTGTTAATTTGAAACCAACATCCGGATTTGAGGATGTCTGACTTAACTGGAACTGGCCTTCTTCTTTTTTAAGTCAGTATCAACATGAGAGCCATGTTTTAATACTAAAATTTAGAATACATTTAACATTGGTGCTATCAAGCACTGATCTGAATACTAACAGTTTGCCAGTGGGTAGATAATCATGGTAAAAATGGGGAATGCCAGGAAAAATATGGTAGCAAATCCAAATGTATCTTTGCCTTTAAGGAAGAGCTGCTTGTTCTGTGATTCACTGCTGCTTTAAATCATTGGTGTGCAAATGTTCTTCGCAGAACAAGCCCATATTTTCAATAACTCTGACTGTCAGGTGTCTTAAGACTTCAATCCATCTTGTGTCCTATGGGAGCCAGTTCCATAGATTTAACTAGACAGTACATGCTAAAACAATGGAGCTCGTTCCCACAGGATGCAGGGATGACTACCAGTTTCGATGGCTTTAAAAGAGGATTAGACAAATTCATGGAGGAGAGGGCTATCAATGGCTGCCAGCCACAAAGGCTATGCTCTGCCTCCTCAGTTGGTCCTTGGTATTTCTGACGATTGTGAGAGTCATCCTGAATCAATACTTTTTAAGGTACAACATGCTTGACTCTAGAGCAGCCTGTTCAAAATACATTCTTCACTTCCCCAGTCCAAGTTCTCCTAACGCAAACTACTCCAGCTAGCTCAGTTGTCTTCAGAAAAGCTATTCTGGCTCTGAGGTTTTGAGGGCAGCAACCCAACACCTGTATTAGCTGCCTGTCCAGGGCCCACGTTGAATTCAAGTTTAAGAACACCTGATTGTCATCTTTTTTTTTTAATTGACAAACACAGAACTAATTCAAAAAGGCTTGGATGTTGTGCATGCGGAATTGCTTAGAAATCGGCTAGTTTAAATCGTGTTTTTAAGAAAAGCTAGACTGTCATTTTTACATGACAGTCCCCACTCCACACCAAAAGGCATTCAAATGTTTCACATCCTTCATCCTTAATCAAAGCTGAGAGCCAGTGTGGTGTAGTGGCAAGAGTGTCTGACTAGGACCTGGGAGACCAGGGTTTGAATCCTCACTCAGCTGAGAAGCTCACTGGATGACCTTGGACCAGTCACTGCCTCCTAGCCTAACAGGGTTGTTGGGATAAAATGGTGATGCAGAGGAGAAGTCCGCTGGCCTCCCTGAGCTGTGTGGAGGAAAAGTAGGATATAAATGGAAGAAGTAAATAAATAAAATAAAATTGCACAAGGCAGACTCCCTGGGAAAGCCTCCTGCACAGCTCCTGTTGAAATGAAAAGGCAGTGGCATTGGTCTTGCCCACTTCCTTTCAATGGTGCATCTGCAGGAAATATTCCCGTGGACTATGCCAGCAACCTTTAAGAAAGTGAAGCTTCATGTTGGTACTGTGACTTGGGGTGAATTTTATCAGGAATGAGGTGCCTTCGTTTGCACTCATTGCTTTGTGCGCTCTTAGTGGCAGCTAACTGAGCTCTCTTGCCTCCGCAGGCAAAGACAAGAAGGGGAGTTGCAGCCTTTCCCGGGTGGACAGCACCACCTGCCTCTTTCCTGTCGAGGAGAAAGCGGTGGAGTACTACTTTGCATCGGATGCGAGGTCTGTGGCCCCTGTGGAGTCAGCCAAAGTCGCCTTGTCCTTGGCTTCTCACAGCATGCACCAAGGAGGAGGTTGACTGCTAGCCCACCTCTCTTGGACGAAGGACCAGAGGGGAGAAGAGAGAGTGAATGGCATTTGTGTGTCACTTTCAAGTAGCATGTGTGTTATATGTGGCATAAAATGTTTCCTGACTCAACCTGACACCTTCAGCACCTAGCGTGCTTCCAGTGGAACGGGAAATGGGTGTGAATCTAACAGACCAGGTACTCTTGGTGTCAGAGGCTCTAAGGCAGGCTTCCTCAGCCTTGGCCCTCCAGATGTTTTTGGCCTAGAACTCCCATGATCCCTAGGTAGCAGGACCAGTGGTCAGGGATGATGGGAATTGTAGTTTCAAAACATCGGGAGGGCCGAGGTTGAGGAAGCCTCCTGCTCTAAGGCTTCTGATTATCCTAGAGCCAGCAGGGTATAGCTGATAGTCTGGGACCAGCTTGCTGAGATTTTAAATTGCTCTCCTGCCTTTCCTCACAAAGGTGCCCAGAAGGGCTCATGACTTCACAGTTGTGTGGGTGTTTGAAGCTTTCCAAGTGGCCTCAGGTCAATTGCTAGATCTCTGCCTAACATGTGGTGAGGAACCATATATGTTGGTGTCAGCTCCCTAGAGGGAGAGAAGAATGGCAGTTCTTTCCTGTGCTAATAACATCGCTGTGGACCGCAGTAGATGTTTGGAATATTTGCAAAATAAATAAATAAATTTATTTATTAGCAAACCTGAATGGCTTCCTACTCCTTGGCATTTCTGGGATCAGTTCTCCTGTAGCGTTTCAGCTCCCACTCACCCACTGTTTAATTTACTAAGCTTATCAGGCAGCCTATTTGGTCCTGTTGAAAGAGGAAAGTGAAACTACCAAATGCCTAAGCTGCTTGGGATACATTCTGACCCCAACAACTTCTCAAAATAGGGTAAAGAACACCATAGCATTTTGTGTGTGTCATAAATTTCATTTTTATGCTATTATATCTCTTCAAAGGGACACGGGTGGCACTGTGGTCTAAACCACTGAGCCTAGGGCTTGCCGATCAGAAGGTCAGTGGTTTGAATTCCCGTGATGGGATGAGCTCCCATTGCTCGGTCCCTGCTCCTGCCCACCTAGCAGTTTAAAAGCATGTCAAAGTGCACGTAGATAAATAGGTACCGCTCCGGCGGGAAGGTAAACAGTGTTTCTGTGCACTGCTCTGGTTCACCAGCAGCGGCTTAGTCATGCTGGCCACATGACCCGGAAGCTGTAAAGCGAAATGAGCGCCACAACCCCAGAGTCATCCGTGACTGGACCTAACGGACAGGGGTCCCTTTACATTTACCTTTTACCTCTTCAAAAGCAAAGGAATATTCAGGTGTGTACTTTAATTATGATTCTAGTCAGCCCAACTAAGTTCTACTCAGAGCAAAAGTATTAAAACTAATGAACCTCAGTCATGTGCATTAACTTCAGTAGGCCAACTATGTGCAAAACTAGCATTGTGTAAAAACCATGTTTTATGCAGGGTGTTCTGTTTTTGGGTACAAAACAATCCACAAAACGATTGCAGGGGTCTGTTGGAGCCCAGGCGAATATTTTACCCTAAGGGTTAATTCTGCACCAATTCGACTTTCTTGACACAGGAGTTAACACTCTCAGGGTACAAACCTGCTACATTGATTTCTTATTTGTAATGTTCATCGGGGAGGGCGCACCTTTCATGCTATTTGGGTACATTAGACCCACTTCTTCTCTGAGCCCAATGTTTATGCATCTTTTCTGTTTTCTTTTCAAGAGCTTTCTGATAGATAGTCAAATGAGGAATTTAAATTAACATTGGGGGGGGGTCCAATTAGACCATGTTTTTGGAATGCACAGCCAATTAAATCTATTTTCTTATGTTAAACAGGAATGATTTTGTGATCAGTCATGATCTTTGTTTCCAACTGATCTTAAAAGGGCCTGTAAAAAAAAAAGGAAGAGGGTTAAATAAATGCAATAAAATTTGCGTAAGAGCTGAAAAGTAGGTTACAGTAAAATGATAAAGTAAGGATGTTAAAAATGATCCAGTTAATATGTTAAGTTGCAGACCCTTCATAGTTTTTTGGAGGGGAGGCTGTAGTTGTATTCCAATTCAGCATTGTATCATTATTATTAGTAGTAGTATTTCAAAGTTTATATAAAAATACAATAGAATCAGTCAGCTCAACTCTTATCTCAAGAGTGGTATATCTACTCTTGCAAACACTCTGGTTCTAATATGGTGTCATTACTGGATAACTGGAGTCCAATTGTTTTATAATGTGCCTATTCAGTGAATCTTACAAGTTATTTGCCCTTAAGCATAACAGTCCAGATTCTTCTCCTTGTAGTTTCCATAGATGGAAGTTGAACCATTCTCTACTCTTTTACAGTGCAGTTATTGAGCACACCAACCGAGTGATTTTTCTGGAGGATGATGATGTGGCAGCTGTTGTGGACGGCCGTCTCTCCATCCATCGAGTCAAGCGCACAGCGGCTGATCATCCTAGTCGCGCTGTCCAGACCCTACAAATGGAGCTCCAGCAAATCATGAAGGGTATGTCTATGTTGATAGTCAGGGCTTCCCAGTTTCAAATGTGTGTGTTTGTTTGTGAAGATCCTTCCTGGAGATTTGCGGGGACACAGGCTACCTACCTGGAGGCTTACATTTTTTTAAAAAAATGGCACAAAATGGGAAATAGGGAGGGAAGAGGAAAATCAAAATCAAAACTCAGGCTGCGTTTTATTCTTTTATTTACATTTCCCAGGCAATGTTGTTTAGCCCATGTTCACTGTACTAAAATATTTCTATATAAGAAGTTGCAATAATAATAAAACACCACGTTCTGAAATAACAAACAAGAAAATATAAAGAATTTCTGCATCAGCAAAAAGGACAAAATTCTATTAGGATGGCTACTCTCCTATACATACTAGTAAGCAGGACATTTTTCAGCCAGAGCTCTCCAGAACTCAGTTCTGACACCTCTCAGATGGTCGCCATTGCCATCAACAGGTAGCTTTGTCAACAGAATAAACATTGCTGTGCTGTTTCCATCCAGTCTACATTTTGCTGCTGTTTTTTTTTTAAAGGTAACTTCAGTTCATTCATGCAAAAGGAAATTTTTGAACAACCAGAATCTGTTGTCAACACCATGAGAGGAAGAGTCAACTTTGATGACTACACCGGTAACTTAAGTCAAAAGCATGTCAATGGTGTTTTGGTTTTTGAGGCGCTTTTGCTTAATAAAGTACTGCTGATTAAGGGGGGAGGGGGCACAACAGGATGGTCTGTATACGGAGAAATTCTCTGCCCCTTTTGCCTTACGTAATGTAAGGATGATTCATAGAATTGTAGAGTTGGAAGGGACCCCAAGGGCCATCTAGTCCAACCCCCTCAATGCAGGGATCACAACTGAAGAATCCCTGACAGATGGCCAGCCAACCTCTTCTCAAATACCTCCCATGAAGGAGAGTCCTCTACCTTCTGAGATAGTTGGTTCCACCATCAAACAGCTGAGGTAGAAGTTCTTCCACACTATTCCACCTCTGCTTTCTGTTGATTGCATTTTGACCACTTTGCTGCTGAGCAAGTTTCCCTTCTCCTCTGGGATGCTTAGTGGGACTGGGGAGTTATGCTGCCACACTTGGCACTTGCCTTCTTCCTGCTTAGGAAAGTGTCTAAGGAGATGACATTTGCTTGACCCTACTGTGTACTGTGGGACGCAGGTGGCGCTGTGGTCTAAACCACAGAGCCTAGGGCTTGCCAATCAGAAGGTTGGCAGTTCGAATCCCCACGACGGGGTGAGCTCCCGTTGCTCGGTCCCTGCTCCTGCCAACCTAGCAGTTCGAAAGCACGTCAAAGTGCAAGTAGATAAATAGGTACCGCTCCGGCGGGAAGGTAAATGGCGTTTCCGTGCGCTGCTCTGGTTCGCCAGAAGCGGCTTTGTCATGCTGGCCACATGACCTGGAAAAACTGTCTGCGGACAAACACTGGCTCCCTCGGCCAGTAAAGCGAGATGAGCGCTGCAATCCCAGAGTCGTTCATGACTGGACCTAATGGTCAGGGGTCCCTTTACCTTTACTGTATAGTGTAGATGATGAGAGGAGGGAAAGCTCTGAAATTCCTCTAAATGGACAATATAATTCCTGAAGTCTTAGTTGAAATGTCTCTTAAGTTTTTCCTTTAGTTGTAGTTGTAGTAGTAGTAGTAGTAGTGGTAGTTGTTTTGGTCATGTTAAATACCTTAACCTTTGTGTCTATATTTATAATAGTGAATCTTGGGGGTTTGAAAGATCATATCAAGGAGATCCAAAGGTGTCGGCGTCTCATTCTAATTGCTTGCGGAACAAGCTACCACGCTGGAGTTGCAGTAAGTGGCTAACTTTGGGTTTTCCTTTTGAGTAGCATCTCAAACACATTGAACAAATTAGTAGTGCTGTGATCCTACGATGACGTCTGTGAAGCTACGGAGAGTGGGTGCTGATAGATGAATGCGGCTCTTTTATGGCTCCTTGTAACCGTGACCCGTCCTTGTAGCATCATTTCATTGGTCTGTTTGGTTCTACAGATGGGAGGCATATCTCACTGGGTCTTTAATTCTTAACTGGAGCATGGAAAGACATACTCAGTAGAACATGTAGGAGACAACTCCTAGGGACTGAGGTCCCTTCCCCCCTTCCCCAATAAAATATTGGAGGGGGCAGGGCCCCTGAAAGTTGATGGGCATTGGCATTCAAATGGTGTGTGTACCGCATCATGAGATTGATTGTGCGAGGCGGGGCTTACCCCTCCCCCCCCCAATATTTTATTCAAGTTGGTACCCCTGGTTGAACATTTGGCATGTTGGGAGTCTTACCAGAATTGGAAACCCACTCCAGTTCTGATGTAATAAATCACATTTTCTTTGAGGCCTGTATAGTTTATTTTGCCTATGAGAATATGTTTTAATGATGCCGACCCTGGACCCTCTTTTTGTTTCTGGCACTGAAACTGAAAAGCCAAAACGTCATCCCTTGTCTCTGCACACTTTCTCTCTCTTTAAATGACACAAAGATGGAGAGTGGGAGCAGGAAGTGTTCCCTCCAGAATCTGCTGCACTGCTTCATGGGCTGAGGAATACGTGACTTCCCTCCTTTTTCTTTTCTTTTCTTTACCAGACACGCCAAGTTCTGGAAGAGTTGACTGAATTGCCTGTCATGGTAGAACTTGCCAGTGACTTTCTGGACAGGAACACTCCCGTCTTCAGAGATGATGTCTGCTTCTTCATCAGCCAGTCAGGTACGGACAGGCCTTTGGCCTGGGAGCAGTGCTGGGCAGGTGGCAGGCCAACCTGAGACCAGTGGCTACCTTTTGCTAGGCTCATGACCTTTGACCTGGCTTGCTACCGAGGAGGGAGGTGTGGAATCCAGCAGCCACCAAGTCCAGTCAGGATTCTCCCGGCTGGAGCTCTTAGCACATGGTACTTCCTGGCCATTGCTCATACAAACAATGTGTGTTTCTGTTTGTTTGTTTGTTTGTTTGTTTGTGTTTTTAGAAGTAATGAGTTCGGCATGCTTAGAACCAGACATGTGCAAGTTATCCGGGGCAAAATGTAAGAGTTTCAAAACAAAGGACAAAGCCTGTGTGAATGTAGTGAAATGCAGCCTGAATTTCATGCCTAAAGCTGAGCTTCAGATATAAGCTAAAAATTGCAGCATGTGGATACATGTTTGTTCATTATATGTTTGTGATATTTATCTCTCTATCCCGCCTTTTCCTCGGTCCGGGACTCAAGGTGTGTCTTACACAAATTAAAACAACACAGAGAAAATGCAAAAAATTGAAAATGGTTAAAAAGTAATTAAACCCTAATAGAACTAAAACATTTTTATTTTTTAAAAAAAATATCAGGTGTATAGCTACACATTACTGAAGGACCCTTACTACTTTACCAGAAAAGTAGTTTTGACTATTTATACCAGGAGTCAGCAAACATTTTCAGCAGGGAGCTGGTCCACTGTCCCTCAGACCTTGTGGGAAGTCGGACTATTTTTTTTTTGGGGGGGGATAAACTAATTCCTATGCCCCACAAATAACCCAGAGATGCATTTTAAATAAAAGGACACATTCTACTCATGTAAAAACACACTGATTAATATTCTTTTCAAAGCCGTCCAGAGTGGCTGGGGAAGCCCAGCCAGATGGGCGGGGTATAAATAATAAATTATTATTATTATTATTATTATTATTATTATTATTATTATTATTATTATTATTATTATTATTATGATTCCCGGACTGTCCACGGGCTGGATTTAGAAGGCGATTGGGCTGGATCTGGCCCCCAGGCCTTAGTTTCCCTACCCATAATTTATACTATAATATAGTATAAGTAAAAAGGGGCTAAATAGCCAAAACTGTTTTTTATAATCACTTCCAGCACTACTGCTGCATTGAAAATGAAATGTTACTGTTCAGATGAAATGGTTGAAGCCTGGGCACTTTAGTTTGCCAAAAAAAAAAACTTGTTCAGTGGAATAAAAGCTAAAAACCAATTGTAGAATCTTCTGCCCTCCTGGACACATGGGTCGTATTGGGTAGTCACAAGCAGCAGATTCCTTGCAGGGTTTCCCATCCCTCTGGGGCAGCCTTCACCGACCATTGCCCTCCAGATGTTGTTGGACTGCAACTCCCATCAGCCCCAGCCAACACAGCTGATGGGAGTTGTAGTCCAACAACATCTGGAGGCTCCTTTACCGCACAGTGATTTCTTCCTTGGCCAGGGGAACTGCTAGAATATATTCTGAGCGTAGAAGGCGCCACTTAGAGTGCTCCCTGCTGACCATAGTGATAGTAGCCGGCCAAAGGAACGGTAGGCATTGGCAGTCAGCAGGCTGGGGATTTGACACCCTCTGCTGGTGATTTGCAGGCATGTCTGTAATCTTCTTTGCCATGCACTTGGTATTCCTGTTGTTTCAGCGTTTTCAGTGTAATGATAAATAATGAATTCTCTAAATTCTTAAGAAGTAGTTAGTAGTTTAAATTGTTTTATGAAAAGCAGTTTAACTCCATACACATAACACACAGAGCCATTTAGACAGATCAGTCTAGATTTGCCTGAGTGCCAGTGGAATCTATGAATGGTTCATTGGTAGGGAGATTTCTTTCTAGAATGTATTGCTAAAAGGATTTGGAATCCTGTAGATATTGTTGCCATTTACTTCTCTTTCTCAAGGAAGCAGAGGGTGGCCAGTGACTTAGTATTTGCCCAGTTTACCTACTTTACTATTGCCCTTTGCATCATTCCAAAAACAGTGTGCAATTTAGGTATTGTTTAAAATGAACAACACCCCCTCAGTTTGCCTTCTTAACATCTGGCTGCTATTCTCATTACAATATCTTGTCCGGTTTATTTAGATATTTTATATCTTGCCTTTCTGCATCTGGGTATACTCCAGGCAGCTCACATAAAGGAACAAGAAGAAATCATAAAGTCCAAATCAGCAATATTATGTTTTCCCTAGCTAGTATGCTGTTGTAATGCAGCTGCCTTCTGTCTGTTCATGAAGAAGTGGAAGAACTAGAGTTCTTCAGAGAGCATTGCTGCTTTGCTTAGGTCTGTGGTTTCTCGTCTATGGTGCCTATCTTGCAGCAGCAAAAAAAAAGTTAATGCAATTCTAGGCTGCATCAACAGAAGCTGAGTGTCCAAATCAAGGGAAGAAATAATAACACACTATTCTTCCTGGATCATACCCAGCCTATAGTCCTGTGTCTAGTTCTGGACACCACAGTTTAAGAAGGATATTAAAAGCTGGAAGGGTGTGCAGAGGAGGAGGACCGAAACGATAAGGGTCTGGAAAACAAACCTAATGAGGAACAATTGAGGGAATTAGGTATGTTTAGCGTAGAGAAGGCTGAGAGGTGATAGGATAGCCACCTTCAAATGTCTGAAGGACTGTCACATAGAAGGTGGAGCAAGCTTGGTTTCTGTGGCTCCAGAGGGTAGGATCTGAAGCAGTGGATTCAAATGACAAGAAAGGAGATTCTGATTAAACATCAGAAATGACTTTTTAATGGCAAGAACTGTTGGACAGTGGAACAGTCAGGTGATGGACTCTCCTTCATTAGGGGTTTTTAAGCAGAGGGGGTTGGGCTAGAATGATTCTGTGTCCTCCAGGTTGAGCATTTTCTGACTCTGATGGTGTCTGTCTCTGCAGGTGAGACAGCAGACACCCTGATGGCCCTACGCTACTGCAAGGAGAGAGGAGCCCTGACTGTAGGAATCACAAATACTGTGGGGAGCTCCATATCTCGCGAGACAGACTGTGGGGTTCACATCAATGCTGGGCCAGAGATTGGGGTTGCCAGCACAAAGGTAAGGGTTCCTTGTATCATCAGAGGCACTCACACTTGGCACCAATAAAGCTCAGTCGAGTCACGTAGATTTGCATATCCTGTAATTCATGCATCTGTTCTGAATCTTATGCTGCATTGCAGGGGGTTGGACTAGATGACCCTCAGGATCCCTTCCAACTCTACAATTCTGTGATTTCTCAAGGAAGGGCTGAGGGAGCAGGGGCAGGCATAGGGGTTCTTTCCCAGTTCATCTACAGTGTGCAGAGGGTGTTTGGAAATACCCGCATTTTGAATAGTTCCCTCCAGGTTGCGTTAAGTTGAAAGAGGCATAACTTCTTACAGAAATCCTCATTTGAAGTGCAGGCACACAGCCCCCCCCTTTCCCAGCTATTATTTATTTGAATTTTTAGCTGCTCGTTACCCAGAAGCCTGCAATTGACTTATAATATATTTATTAAAACAAGAATTAAAATGTTAATGCATTCATGCAAAACCACAGTGCATAAAAATATACAAAGCAGCCCCCCCTAACAGTCACAAGTAGCGCACACTACCAGTAAAACTATCCTCCCAGCTCAGTGGCTCTCAAACATGTTTGGGGCCCTGCCTGCTTGGGTTCTATAAACTCATCCCCCGTGCCCTTTACCCTACCCTGTAAGAAACATTATTCAAAATAGTGGTCTGCATGACCCACTGTGAAAGATAATAGAACAATAAGATTTGAAACAGTAACAATTGATTGCACATTGACTCAAATTCCAGTTTCATCTATTTAGTTTTATTAATTCAATTAAATTGATGAACTTGATACAGCGATACCAGGTTTTCAAAGTATGATAGTCGTTTACACCTCCAGCTCCCCCCCCCCGCTTGCCTTTTAGTCTCGTCCCCCCCTCCCCCGACCAGGTAATCCCCTCTGGGTGCAGTTCTGCCCACTTTGGGAACCACTGCTGTAGTCTATCAAATGCTTGGGATTCAGGTAGGTAGCCGTGTTGGCCTGATGCAGTCAAAATAAAAAAATAAAAAATAGTCCAGTAGCACCTTAAAGGTAAAGGGACCCATGACCGTTAAGTCCAGTCACAGACAACTCTGGGGTTGCGGTGCTCATCTTGCTTTACTGTTCGAGGGAGCTGGTGTTTGTCCGCAGACAATTTTCCTGGATCATGTGGCCAGCATGACTAAGCTGCTTCTGGCGAACCAGAGCAGCGCACGGAAATGCCATTTACCTTCCTGCTGGAGCGGTACCTATTTATCTGCTTGCACTTTGACGTGCTTTTGAACTGCTAGGTTGGCAGGAGCAGGGACCGAGCAACGGGAGCTCACCCTGTCGCGGGGATTCAAACCGTCGACCTTCTGTTCGGCAAGCCCTAGGCTCTGTGATTTAGACCACAGCACCACCCGCGTCCCTTAGAGACCAACTAAGTTTGTTCTAGGTATACGCTTTCATGTGCATGCACACTTCTTCAGATTCACTGAAACAGAAGTCACCAGACCCTTATATATAGTGGGGTGGGATTTTTCTCAGAAGGGTAGTAGGAGATGGGTGATTGGCTCAATGGGTATGATAAACCTGTTGATGACTGTTAACGACTGCAATTAGTCCTACAGGAAAAAGCAAGGGATAGTATGCCGATGACCAAAAATAGCTTTAGCATGTGTAATAAGACAAGAATCCAAAATTTCTATTCAGACCATGTCTCTCCATAGTTTTCAGTTAAGTATGCCTGGGAGTAAAAGTAAGGTAAAGGAAAAGGGACCCCTGACCATTAGGTCCAGTCGTGGCCGACTCTGGGGTTGCGGCGCTCATCTCGCTTTATTGGCCGAGGAAGCTGGCGTACAGCTTCCGGGTCATGTGGCCAGCATGACTAAGCCGCTTCTGGCGAACCAGAGCAGCGCACGGAAACGGCGTTTACCTTCCCACCGGAGCAGTACCTATTTATCTACTTGCACTTTGACGTGCTTTTGAACTGCTAGGTTGGCAGGAGCAGGGACCGAGCAACGGGAGCTCACCCCGTCTCGGGGATTTGAACCGCCGACCTTCTGATCAGCAAGTCCTAGGCTCTGTGGTTTAACCCACAGTGCCACCCACGTCCCATGGGAGTAAAAGTAGGTGCCTGAAAAATACTAATGAAAAATACTCTCCTCAAATGGAGAGCCAGGACTGAAAAGACCTTCTCCCTTGCCATCCTCCTCCAGGCATAGCAATTACTGTTCCAGGTGTCTTCTGCATGGTTCTTTTTGTAGGGCTGCTGTGTTCATGGAAAGAGCCAGGCTCTTTGAGCCACGTGCAGGCAGTAGGCAGGGCCAGAACTCCAGCCATTTGAGGATGTTCCTAAAATGGGCTGCTCTGTAGGTCTCTCCTGATGACCACTCAGAGAACTATTGGTGAGCAACCTATCCATACCTTTACTCCTATGCAAAAGAGACCCAAACAAATACCAACCCCACAGTCTGTGCATTGTGCTATGTGCCATATTATTGGACAGGGTTTAAAATTGCACTGAAGAATTCTTAAGAAATCAAGACAAATGATAAAGACTTAGATGGAGAAGGTGGCATTTTTTTGAAAAAATCCCCAACTGATGCAAATATTAATCTGCTCTGTTTGTTATGGTGCATTCTTAAAGTCTTGGAAGATTACCAAGGTTTCACTTTATGGTGTGGGTTTGAGACTAGGGGTTTGTTGCAAGCTACAAGAAAGGGAATATAGACAACATAAATGTTAGGTAATGTCTTGGTGTATATCATTTTCATGTGCGTGTATAACTTAACTACTTTTTGTATTAAATTATTCTTTAAAGCTTTCAAAAAACATACCATTAACACCCAAACATTGGAAGAGTCTTTGAGCAATGAATAAGGCAAGATGGGGAGCTCCTGTCCTTATCTCAGTAGATTCCCACCAGGGCATCCTACATCTCCTCCCTGCTGCCTAGAGTTGCTTTCCATGGTTTGTTGTGTGAGCTGCTGCTGCTGCAGCTGGCCATTCTGCACTCTCCCCCCTCCCTTCTGCAGACCTCCAGGCTGTAGATCCCCTTAAGAACACCTCTAAGAGCCTTCTGAATCAGGCCAATGGCCCTCCTAGGCCAGCATCCTATTCTCACGGTGACCAGCCAGATGCTTGTGGGAAACTCGCATACAGGATCCGAGCACAAGAGCTTTTATCTGTCCTGAATTCCTCCTAACACCCTTCCTCCGGGGGGGGGGGGTCAAAGAGGGTCCCTGGCAAATACCTCAATATTTCCTCAAGGTGATTGAGCTGCTTCCTTTCCCCCTTAAGATTTGAAAAGAGGCGTTTAACAAAGAACGAGCCTTGGCCAAGATTTGTATGCTAAGGCGCCTGCTGCTTTTTCGTGGGGAATGTGCTGCAATATTACATTGAGCTGAGAGGGTCTGAATTCACTTGTTGGAGCAATCAGGGTATTCATTGCAGCTGAGAGTCCAGCTCATTTTTAGCCTGCACTGGCAGTTTTGAAAATATTGGTGTTCCTTTCCGCGAAGCCAGTTAAGAACTTGAGAAACTGTTTCTTAGGCTGTTCCAGAGACCCAGGTAAGGAGCCACTGTTCTGGTCCAGAGGCACTGGAGCCTGGGGAAAGCAACTCATGGCAATGAGAGGGGAGAGTGCCTCTGGACCAGATAGCAGGCAAGGATCAATGGTTCCTAGACACCATGGCTATGTTCTGCCTCCACTGCCAGGCAATATACCTCTGGATACCAGTTGCTGGAAACCGCAGGAGGGGAATGTACTTGTTTTCCACTATTTGGCCACTGTGAGAACAAAATGCTGGACTAGTTGGGAAGTTATTAACTGGGTAGGGTGATGGTCACCCAGACCTTCCTGGTCCAAGCACAGCACTCTGTCCTCAGCATCTGGCTGCCCAGGTCTGGGAGGAGTATAAACCTGTCTTTTTGTTTCAGGGGTGCTATTTTTTCCTGCTCATGCTCCCGAGCATGTTGGCGGCATCCCAAAATGAGCAGATGTTACACATTACATTCTCCCCCCCGCCCCCATTTAAGACTGCATTTCTGGAATATGTAATCACCGTTTGGGATAAAGAATCGAAGTTAACTCAGACAATGCTTTCTGGAGGAAACTCTTGATAAACTGAGAAGGCAGCTGATGGAAGTTGTCAGACGATGACAGGCTTTTTTCAAGTTGCAGTGGTGCAACCTCCAAATTAGAGTCAATACTTAGGAGTCAATAGAAAGTACCTCCTCTAGATTAATAACAGTTTGAAATCAGTGCTTTCCCCTACATCTTGCCACCCAGTGCTCTAGATATTGGGGTGCCCCCCCATCGGTCTCTAGAAAAAAGGTTCTTCCAAAGAGGGATTAGGATTTAGGGCTGGACTAGGATGCACCCCTCCCTCCGACACAGACACATTTCCTCCTCAGAGCTAGCCTTTCTCTGCATTGAGCATACCCAGGTTCTCAGCCTGCTTTTAGTAGCTGGGTTGGGCCTGTTGTTTTCTCTCTAATCAGGCTAGAAGGAAAAAGGAGAAGATTGCAGGGCCTGCCCCTTTCTGTCAGCCTTTAGACAGAATTTAGACAGAATTCAGGGGTATTGACTGGCTCCCCCCCCCCGCCCCCACCACTTTCCTGCCTAAGGATGTGAAGATGTACGAGTGCGAGTTGTGCCTTGGGTGCAGGATCTCTGCCTCTGCCCAGGCATGAACAACAAAATTACAGAGCCTCCAGCTGTAAGGACTGGACATACACTCGGCTGCTCCCTTATTCTTACTCTCCAGGTTAGCTAGGGTAATTGTTGTCGTCAAGTACGTTTGAGAGTGGCCAGATTAGATGCCTGGTATAAGCTTGGCCTGATGGGTGGTGTCCCTTTGCTGTTAGCTGGAGGTAAAATGAAAAGCCTTGTCTGTGGCGATGGAGCTCCCTTGGATTTGGTGTCCTTTTTCTCACTGGAAGAACCAATCCTTTCTGGTGCTTAGGGGCTGGGCTGGGTTTATGCCAGGGTCAAGTGGGATAGTGAAGCCCTGTGGGCACCTGAGGCCCCCATTTTTATCCCAGCAGTACCCTCCTGAGCTGCTTTCAGGTGTGAGTTTTGGGCAGCTTGCATCATCTTAGCAAACCTGACAAGCTTATGCACAGTGATGTCCTCTCTTTCCGCAGGCCTACACAAGCCAATTTGTGTCGCTAGTGATGTTTGCGCTCATGATGTGCGACGACAGGATTTCCATGCAAGAAAGACGGAAAGAAATCATGCGAGGCCTCAAGTTATTGCCAGGTGCGTACGGGCGCTCTGAGGCGTCATGACAAAATGTGATTTTTTGATGGAGAACAGCAAGGCGAGGATTGACTTGATGCGGGTAGTGGGACCTCTCACTTGCTTCCTGGTTTTGTGCAAAGCTGGGAGATTTGAAGCAGCAAGGATCTCATCCAGATCAGGTCCCTCACTGCCACATAGCCTGCATGGAGCTGCCTCTGAAGCCAGAGTGTTCTCTGATGCTCCGTGCTTGGTAAATCCACACAAGCTACCAATCCATTTTTAGGCATAGTTCAAAGTCCTGGTTATTAAACAGTTTTGGAGTAGGATCTTTGACAGGCTGCCTCCTGCTGCATGAGCCTGTTTGTCTGCTGCACTCTTGCTGGAGGCCTTCCTCTGCAACCCGCTGCCATCAGAAGTCTGGGCTGGGTTGAGTGGCAGGGCCTTTTTGGTTCTGGCACCCAGATTCTGGACCTCAGGAAGCCTAGTTAGAATCATAGAATTGCAGAGTTGGAAGGGACCCTGAGGGTCATCAAGTCAAACTCCCTGCAATGCAGGAATATGCAGCTGCAACCTTGACATTGTCAACACCACACTCTAACCAGCTGGGCCCCTTTCTTTGTGGTGACTAGTGCTTTTTCTCTTTTGCCAAGCTTTTGGTTGTGGTTTTTTGCTCATTGTTCATCTTACTGTTTTGATTATATTTTAATTGATGAAATTTGTCACTTTGAGGGGCTAAAGATGGTCCCCCCCCTTTTTCTTTTTTTATTAAAGATTTTATTGGTTTACAAAAGTCTTTGTTTTTTCCCAATAAACATTTTTACAGATCAGTTTCATTTGTTGAGACATTAGTGTTATATTAGGAAGAAAAGGGGGAAAGAGGTGGAGGGGGAAAAGGTGAGTGGGGGTGGGGTCGGGTTGCGATGTTTCTGTTTTAATTAATATATGTGTGGGGTTTTGTGTGAGCATTGTTTGTGCAGGTTCTCTGCTATTCACTTGTGTTCCTTTGGTGGAGAGAGAGGTTGGGGTTGGCCTAGGGTGTGGTTGTTCGTTTGTGATTGGCTGTGGTGAGCTTTGTTTTCGTGTGTGAGTGGGGTGGGTGGGTGTTTTGGATCAGGTTAGCCATATTGATTTGTATGCTGTTGGTGGATTTTTGTCGTTGTCTTGTTGGGCTGTGTATGTGATAAAGGGGAGCCATACTGGGATGAAGGTGTCTGCTAAAGATGGTTTTATAAAGAAAATAAACAGATGAGGTCTGTGGGTAAACTCTTCAGCTGTAGAAAATGGACTTGTGCAGGAATAATAAGTTGCATATGAAAGTTTATTTAAAAGCCACATCAAGCATTGCATCAGTGTATCTTGGTTCTTTATTGTCACATCCTCAAATGTGGATCACTTTGTAAGTTACGAGAACAGGTTCCGGAGTTCTGTTGGAGGAAGGGCCATCGAGTCCAACCCCCTGCCAAGCAGGAAACACCATCAGTTCCAACTCTATGATTCTATGATTCTATGATTCTATGATTTAGAAAAACCAACTCCCACCTCTTTTCTTCGGTGCTAATGAAACCCCAATAAAAATTGGTGGGTCCAGGTGGTGGTTACTTTTACTCTCTGAAGATCCACTGATTTGTGCAGTTTTCAGTACAGCATTTAAATGCCACAACATTGTTTCCAAAGTGCATGTAAAGCCATTTCTAGTGTGATTGCAGATTGTTAACCTGTGTGTTAATACGTTGCCTCCCTCTTGCTACTTGCGATAGACTTGATCAAAGAAGTCCTGAGCATGGATGATGAAATCCAGAAACTGGCCACAGAGCTTTACCACCAGAAGTCAGTCCTCATTATGGGCCGTGGTTATCATTATGCGGCATGCCTGGAGGGCGCTCTGGTAAGAATCCCCATTTCCTTCCATAATAATAATAATAAAAGGCTTATCCATCGTTATTTGTGTTCCCGTTTGGAGGGTCAGACCTGACAATGAGCAAGAAAATGAGGAAGGGTGTTTTTAAAAGCATGTCTCTAGTCATTATAACTGCAAAGAGAGGGTTTAAAGCTGCTGTCCCCAACCTGCCGCCCTCCAGATGTTTTGACTGCAACTCACATCAGCCCCAGCCTGTGTGGGAGTTGTTGTAGTCCAAGTGAACTGGAGAGCACTGGATTGGGGAAGGCTGGTTTAAAGTGTATGGGCAATCCCTGACAACAGAAAGAATCCCAAATGGACTGAGTAGGTTTTCTAAAGGTCAGAAATGAAGATGGGTTTTAAATCAGGCCTGCAAATATTGTTGTCTGCTAAACCGAATGCAGCTCAACAGCCATCTCCTGTAACCTACCAAGAGTTTTGCAGTTCTCATGGTAGTTTCTTGCATTTCTGCAGTCTGGGGCAGGCAGAAACCAGCTGGAGGGTTCTGGAGCCACTATTCACAGCTGTTGGTTTGCTTTTGGCTTGGTGGAGCACCTTTCCCTCCAAAGAGCTCATGGTGGCATGCATGGTTGTCCCCTCTCATTTAATCCCCACAAGAACCCTGTGAGGCAAGTCAGGCTGAGAGGCACCAACTGGCCCCCAAGGTCACCCAGCGAGCTTAATGGCTGAGCGGGGATTTAAACCCTGGCCTGAGGAGGATCTTTGTTTTAGAGAGAGAGAGACTCCATGGACTAATGCGTTGCACCTTCTCTGCAGAAAATAAAAGAAATCACCTACATGCATTCGGAAGGCATTCTGGCTGGGGAGCTGAAGCATGGGCCCCTTGCCTTGGTCGATAAACTGATGCCTGTCATCATGATCATCATGAGGGACAGCACATACACCAAGTGCCAGAACGCCCTGCAGCAAGTCATTGCCCGGCAGGTGAGTTCAGGCGAGAAGAGACAGAGCCCAGCTCTGCTCCACAAAGTCCCGTCTTCCTTTGCTCCTTCTCGGGGATAAAGGATGAGGCACTGGCATTGGCAGTGCCCGAAGGTATTGGAAGTGGGTGGTGGGAAAGAGGGATCCGTTTCCTCTATCCCTCAATCCTTGGTCTAAGGGGTTCGTTCACCTCTTGCTTGTGTGTTAATTCCAGGTTGGAATGTGGGATCCTCAGGCCCCTTTTGAGGCGTCAGGGTCACAAGCAAGGCTGCTGGCATTCCTCAGGCAAGATTTCCTCCTTGCACAGCCAGACAGTTTTACTTTTATTATTTATTGCATTTATCTCCTGCCTTTCCCCAAGGAGCTCAGGGTGGCATACATTCTTCCCACAACAACCCTGTGAGATAGGTTAGGCTGGGAGGCCTGAGACCGCCCAGTGGGAATTTGAACCCTGGTCTACCTGGTCCAACACACTAATCACCACCACTGGCTCGCCTTTCCCTCTCCTGCATCTGCTCAGTTGCCTAGAAGTCTTGCCTGCTTAAGGCATGGATGGGCAAGCTGAATATCCAAGGTGCTTGGGAGGGGGTGTTCCTCTTTGAAGCTGAATAGCTCTTTCCCCTTTACGGATGTTTCTAGAGGACAAATGTAACCGCATCTGTTCCCGTGCTCCCCCTGTAGCCTTATTGGAGTTCAACCCCTTGCTTGCGAAACCCATTCCTTCACCCCCCACATTTATGTATAAATGTGCCCCATATTTCTGTCAAATGGGAAGCCTGAGCGAAGGGAGCTGGTCAGTGTCTCCAGCTTTTTATCTCCTGCCGTTCAGCAGCTCAGGAGGCACTTTGACTTCCGCCAGCTCTAATGCCAGAACTGAGTAGCAGTGCCTGGAGCAGAGCAGAAAAGGGGTGAGGGAAGAAGCGGGAGGGCAGCACCTCTTCCAGCCATGAAAATGAGGCTCTGAACCTGAACAGGAGCTGAAGGAAATAGCCATTTCCAATGGTGTTTGCTTCTCTGTCCCTTGAAGACTTGCCTCCTGGCTTTCTCCTCTTAGGATCTTCTCCAGAGTGAAACGAAACTAACCACATCTGCTCTCCCCTGTGTTTTCCCTCAAGAGTAACATAAACCAATAACTAGGGAGATGGTAAATAACTGAAAAGTGTGTTTCTTGACTACGCACATAGTTTTCATTTGGGCCGACAAAAGTGGCATGTAGCAGATGAAATGGCAAACACCCGCTGGTTCCAGGCTGAGGCCCTCTTCAACTCCTTACAGGCAGGGCTTGTTGATGGAAAAAAAGAGGAGGCCTCTTCCATCCTCTGTAGCCCCACCTGAGCCAGCACAACACTTTGTGAGGCACATTCAAGGCTCCCAGGCTTCCGTTTCTCCCTTTTTTGGTGGGAACCAGCCAGAATGATGCCGAGGAGAGTGGCTTCCAGACCAGCCCCATCTGGCCAGCAAGCAGAAATCACCTTCCAGGCTGGCTGTTGTGACACCTTTTGAATTCCGCTGGCACAGTCTTATTTCATTCGTGGGAGAAAAGCACTTTTTCAAGCTCTTTGTGCCCTGAGACAAAAGTCTGAGGAGGCAAAAGAGTTCATGGGGCAGGATTGGTGGGGGTAAAGAGACAGCCATCCCTCCTAGCTTGGTTCCCCCCCTCCCACACAGGACAGGGGCACAGCCAAAGCAAAGGAGACTGGCTTGCGCTGCTCTCTGGGTACCCATGTTCCCTCCAGCCTGCCTGCCTTCTTCCTGGCCCAGGAGCAGGGTCAAGCAATGGCCCAGCTAAAGTGATTTGCCCCGAGTTTTGCTCAGCCACGCTCTGTGGCCGGGTGCCATCTGCAAAGCAGGTGCAGGAATGCTGCCAGCAGACACCAGTGTGACGCTTGCAGGGGAGAGGGATTGAGACTGCTCTCCTCTGTCACAGTTTGGGGTCTAGCACTCCAAGACCTGCTTGCAGCAGCTGTAAAATGGCACCCCGCAGCAATTGGAACCCACAGGTGTCAAAGAAAGCTGTGAAGGTGCAGTAAATCATACCCTGAAGGTGGTGGTGGAGGAGCAGTGTGATTCTTCTGGCCTGCCATTTCCCTATGGTGCCTCGGAGACCTCTCGGCCTTTGCCTCATCTTTCTCTCAAGGGTGTGGAGAGACTGAACCTAAGAGGTGGACGGAGGCCTCCTAAGTTTGGGAGTGGAGAAGGGGCTGCCCCACCTTTTTCCTTTACGCTTGTGCTCCTCGCAGGGTCGGCCTGTTGTGATTTGCGATAAGGAAGATATTGAGACCATCAAAAACAACAAGCGAACCATCAAAGTCCCCCACTCTGTGGACTGTCTGCAGGGGATCTTGAGCGTCATCCCTTTACAGCTCCTGGCTTTTCATCTTGCGGTACTCAGAGGCTATGATGTAAGTACCACACTTTTAAAGATCACCTTTAGTCCTTCAGTGAACATAAGGAGCGCCTGCTGGACCAGGCCAGTGTCCCATCTGGTCCAGCATCCTGTTCTCACGGTGGTGTTTCACAAATCACTAAAGGTGGTGTGAATCTACCAGCTTCAGCTGGGTTAAGTGGGCAGCTTGGGCGCCTTGCCAAATAAACCAGCAAGCAGAGAGAGCACTTGTGTCTGTAACAAAACAGTAAGTCTCATATTGGCTGTTCAATTTAAAATATCCTTTCAGGTTTGTTTGGTTTTTTTGTCTTTTTCAGGTTGACTTTCCAAGAAATCTGGCCAAATCTGTTACGGTTGAGTAGCGTACTCTGTCATTAATGCTTTGGCAGATGTCAGCAAGAGACACTCTCTTTTGGTACTGGGACACATTGATTTTAAAAGTCCTTCCTTGATCAAATCTTAATCCCCTGTTCAAGAGTCTTTATAATTCTGTTGCATTTGTGACTGTTAAACGTTGAATCCACAGGCTATGCCAGCAACATTGTTAAATGATGATCATTTCAAGGTAGTTTGTTCTCTTTAAAAAGTCATAATCCTCCTTTGTTGTCTAGCTGGATTGTTTCAGGCCTCCATAGTGCTGAATTGCATAATTGTCTAAGTATCTATAAGACATGCAGGCTCGTAAGATCTTTCCAAGAATGGAAATGGGAAATGAGAAGGTGGTTCTGGAAATTGTAAGAACAGAGTGAGAAGCTAGGGCTGTGCTCTGCCACAGGAAACCAACTTTTCCCATCCTGCAAGGATGTTCACTGTCATCAGAACTCACTGTTTTGAAGGGGCCTGTTTCATAATGGATTTCTGCACCTCTCCATGCAATAAAGATGGGAGTAGTTGGCCAGAGGAGGAAGGACCCTCACATTTGGCGCTTGGCCCCTGGCCCTTTCAACCAGTTCAGTTTTGTGTGGACCCACCATTCCTTGTCTGCACAAGCCCCACTCTTTCATCCTCTTGAAAATGCTGTAAGAGGAAAGAGCCCTGGTTGGTTGTTCCTGTAGAGTGTAGATTGAGGTGGAGGCCTCTTTGTGCGTTCATTTTTCTTAATGGTGCAAAGTCACCATAAGGTGGGTCACTTCCCCTTGCCTCTTTCACAACATAGTAAAGACATCCCTCACCATATAAGGAATGCAGTCAGAAGAGAGAACTGCACCCCATTTTTACCTCCTGGAGGATGAAAAGTTGGGCGACCCTTGGGTGAGAGAAGACACAACTGAGGTCTGTACCGGTTCCCACTAATGTTATTCCCAGCATCTTCTCTGAAGAATCAGAGCAGTGGCATAAAGTCCATTTTATTTGGAGGACAGCTCTTCAATTAATGATCCCAAATCTATTAATGTGAACATGTCCCACATAAACATGTGGAGGCCAAGCTGCTATTTTCTAGAGGTTAGGGGGCAGATGGTGAAACTAGGGCTGAACTGAAGTGGGGGAGGGAAGGTGGTGTGAACATGCTCTGTGTGAAAGCCTTTGCCCGCTGCAAAAACCAGCCACCCCTTGGCACTTTGAGAGGCGTCTGTGAATAGGAGCAAAAAGTGTTTGTCATTTTGTAAAAGCAAATGCATCCTTTGTTGCCGTCCGCCTAGGCCAATTTGACCTATTTTTTAGCACCGAGTTATTAATGATAATTGTTGGCAATGAATCCAGCAGACTGCAGAACAGGAAGATGGAGGTGGAATTTTACTCCACTTGAGTTAACAATGCAGAGATGTCTTCCTTCTCTCTTCTCTAGCTCTGCATGAAAAATCCTTTGAGAAATGAAGCAGCCATGTGCTCTGCCTAGTATTAAGTTGACGTTTGTGATGAAGGTAGTGAGAAGGGGCGTAAGAGAACATGCAATACAATATGAAGACCAAAGATGAGCTTCAATGCCAGACTGGTGTACTAGGGCTGAACAGGTTTGGAAACCACTGATGGAGCAAACATAGATGGCAAAAATCCAAGTTATCTGAATGAGCAGCCTCCCAGTTCCCTTGTCCTTAGGTGATGGGACAGAGATGGTACCAGAGGGCTGTGAATAAGCTTCCTTGCTGAGGCTGCTTTCAAGGGCAGAAGAACTGTGGAATGTACAAAAGCTAAGAAATATGGCAAATAAGCCAATTCGTGGAGCTCAGTAGAACACCAGCTTCTCTGCATCCCCTTTTATCAGTTAAGAAATAAATGTCCTAATAGAGAGGATTTAGGGATGCTATGATGTGGGGGTCTTCTTGGGCCAGCAGTTGTGTGACCCTCTTGCCCTGCCTGATATAAGGACAATGGGATGAGGCACACGGTGTGTCTTGAGTATTCAGAAAGCCTTGCACCCTGATGCTCAGCTTCTCTTGTGCTCACCATAAAAATATTACCTGCCATTCAGTTAAAGGTTTAAAATGGCCCAATGTTGAATGTTGTAGAGTTGTGAAGTATTGTGTTAAACAAAAGTCCTTACCTTGCCAGTGGTTATGCAATGTCGGGAGGGGGGGCGGTTTTCTTTCATCTCAGTGGATATGTGTCTGAACTGCCTGTCATGCAGTGTAAAGGGAAAGGCAGGGTTGGAGGAAGAGGTTTCACTCCACTTGTGACTTGGGCTACTTTACATAGATGTAGAGCACCAGCGTGCAGGTCTTACAGTACAAGTTCTAACTGATGTGGGAAGGTCTGCGCTCTCTTCCTGTGCAAGTTTCCATGTGGGATTCCCCCTCATTTTGAACACCACGGTTCCAGATGTCTGCAAGCCTTTTAACAACCAAGTGAGCTCATGTAACTCAACAATCCACCAGCGTGGTCTTCAACACTTCCATTGTGGCCAACCTTGTTAAGTACAAGTTGCATTATGTTTCTCGTGTGTCCTGAAGAAGACTGACGTGGTTTACTACTGAAGATGACAAGTGTGGACTCCGGCTGATGAAATCACAGCTGTGTGTGAGTGTGTGTTTAAAACTGGAACATTTTTGCAAAATGTTAGCCCTCTGTTTCTCTGCTCGTTTTCCTTTTGAATGTATATATACAGCTCGTCATGGTTTATGGGGACCACTCTTTACTAATTTTGTGCTGTGTACTCTACACAGATCAGAATTTTATCATTTAGGTTGTTTCCTAGCTTACTTTTTTGTATTTTGCTCTTTGAATAATAAAAAGTGCCCAACCTTACCATGACTTTGGCTTAGAAATCCTTGTTCTCTTGTGTCCTTTCCATAAAAAGAACCACCCATGGCCAACTTGTGAATTAAATGGCAAACCGCAGTAGCTCTTGCACAGGTATCATTGTAAAAACTGGGGGTGCAAAATTCTACAGCCTTCTAATTTTATGATAGTTCTGTGTGGCCAACCAAACACTTCCCTTAGAACTGCAGCTCAGCCTTTTCAAAATGAATTAAATGCCTATCGGTGTCCCCCAAACATGTTTTCTTTTGCAGGGTTTTGCTCCATAGTTCTGCCTGCCCTCCGTCCCCGTTCCCCCCCCCTTTGAATGGCCGGTCTTTAGCCTTTGCCTTGAGAGAGGTAACAACCTGGAAAAACTCAGTTGGTAGGTTCACCAGAGCTCAGCAATAGGATTCATTCTCCAAATCCAACCAGTTCTGGGCACCACAGTTCAAGAAGGACACTGACAAACTGGAACGTGTCCAGAGGAGGGCAACCAAAATGGTCAAAGGTCTGGAAACGATGCCTTATGAGGAACGGCTAAGGGAGCTGGGCATGTTTAGCCTGGAGAAGAGGAGGTTAAGGAGTGATATGATAGCCATGTTCAAATATATAAAAGGATGTCATATGGAGGAGGGAGAAAGGTTGTTTTCTGCTGCTCCAGAGAAGCGGACACGGAGCAATGGATCCAAACTACAAGAAAGAAGATTCCACCTAAACATTAGGAAGAACCTCCTGACAGTAAGAGCTGTTCGACAGTGGAATTTGCTGCCAAGGAGTGTGGTGGAGTCTCCTTCTTTGGAGGTCTTTAAGCAGAGGCTTGACAACCATGTGTCAGGAGTGCTCTGATGGTGTTTCCTGCTTGGCAGGGGGTTGGACTCGATGGCCCTTGTGGTCTACTCTATTCCAACTCTACGATTCTATGATTGCAGCAGACTTGGGGAACTGGGAAGAGGGTTTCCATGCTGCTAGGAGCAGTGTGAACAGGGCCCTGGAAGCAACAGCCAAAGGCTTGGCTATTTTAACTGAATTGTCTTCTTAGGCTTCAGGCTAAGGATGGGGAGCCCTTGGCTCTCCAGATGTTGCTGGTCTCTAGCTCCCCTCACCCATGAAAACTAATATTCTCCTCTGGGAATCGGCGTAGCCATGATTTATGCTGGGGGGGGGGGCCAGAACCAAGCTATCTGCAATGTGATTTGTCAGCTTCTGATGCACAGCTTTCCCCACTTCTATGAACAGAATACATGAAGGCAGAGCTCAAATTAGTTCTTTAATAACATCAAAATTTAAAAGAGTAATGGCTGTATCTAAAAAAAACAACCCCACACAATTCATGCAAATAAGCCAAGGGCACAGAACAAGAGTCTTCTGCTTGCTGAACAGACATTTCTCTCATCCACCAAAGGTCACCACATCTACAGAGAAAAAGTTCTTTTCTGACTTGCAACATCTCCATTAATTGCTAACCTCCTCTTCTCTCAATCCTTCCAGGGACTTCCAAGAATTGCAGATTGGCCACCGTTAATTATATGACATGCACTTGGCTTTTGAATCTAGGAATAAATATTTTCAACCAAAGTAGTTTCTCAAGATTCGGTCAAGTATGATTTATCAGTATTTATTCAACTATTTGAATCTGCGAGCCTGTGAAGTGGTTAGTCATTTTGCGATTTAACACTTCCTGAAGCTGCAGAAAAGATGGTGTCTCATCCAACTGCTTCCACTCTTCTTTTTGTTATACAAAGAACTCTCTTTAGAAATGGCTAGTTCTGGAATATTTGCTATAATGAGCTCAGGATTTTCTACTAACAAAAGATGTATACACAGTACTATATGTCTGTATATAGTACACTGGCCAGTTCAACCTCTCTTGTTACATAACATTAATTGACCCTGGAAAATTAATCAGAATTTGAGGTCCATGGACACAATCCAACCAAAGTTAAGCACTGATATCTCACAGATTTCTTTACCTCTAACATGAAAATAGTTTTGAGCTGATTCCGATTGCTCTCACGGCACCTACACAATGTCAGGCAAGTGGAAAATGGCTGAAATCTGAGTTCTGCACAGCCCATGCTCTTTCTCCAAATAGTTAAAAGTGGATTGGGTCCATTTTCCTCTTTCTCCACCACCTCTTCCACACAAATAGACCCCTCAGCTGCTGTTTACAACTGTCCATAATGGTTTAAGTGGAAGATCTTCTGCTCAAGAGTCTTCATGATTACAATTAATGCTATGTAAAGGAGGCATTCGTCATTACAGGGACTATCCATACATTAATAATAGCAGTACAACCATAAAAGGGGGAGAAATTAAACAAAAAACAAGCACAGCTTGATACAATAACATGCCATGAAATATCATTGGCTTTATAATAATTTACTACAACATGAAAAAAAAGATCTTTTATCCACACAGGATAGGAAATGCTTCCACTTAAAATATGGCAAGCATATAAGAATAAAATATACACCACAGATTTGGAATTTTGCTTTTAAATCATGCACAGAGAATTTGTGTACTTAAAAATAAAACATCCTTGGCCTAACTTACACTTTTTAAATTCATTTGTTCCCTCCCTCTATCCTTAAGTTTTTTAAACTTTTAAACTGGGAAAACAAAATTCATCTTTAACAAAACCGGAAGCTATCAAAATACACTTATTTTTCCTCTGAGATTATTCCAGCATTGCCACCAAATTAACGCTAAAGAAGTGCTGCATTTTTCTAAAAGCTTTTTTTATTCCAAACTTTGGGGGCACCTTCAAGGCTCTGCAACAAGTCAAACCTACTCCCTGTATTACTTTCACCCCATTTATTCTATACTTTCCAAGCAGTCTGCCAGGAAGTTGCCTTGGCAAACCCCGTTACGAGTTGCGCTGTTCTGCACCTCCACCAGGTTTGCGCAAGAGAGCTTCCAACTGGACTGAGCGCTCCCATCTTCCAGCAAGACGAACTTCTGCTCAGCTAAATTGTGGCAACCAGCTGGACCTTGTGCTGGAGCTTCTCGGACAACGGCAAGGCCGCCTTGTGACCGAACTGCAACTACACCCTGAAAACCCAAACAGTGGCTATTTCCGGAGAGGTTTGTGACCAGGCAGAGTCCCGAGGGGTGCCTTTGCTATTACAGAAGGCCGCTTTGTTCTGCCTGCAGACTGAGCAGCTGTTGCTGTGCAGCTGGGGAAAGAAACGAGCGGGGAGATGAAGGGGCAAAAGGCAGGGGAATCTCTCTCCACTGGCCACTCTCAGCTCATGGTAACTGCTGACACCACAGCCCTGGAGACAGATCAGGCACTTCCAAACTGGATTAGGTTGCTTGAGTTGCAACCTTATACAGCTGTCTTTAGGATGCTTTTGAATGTTATCATAGGCAGCAGAAAACCAGGGAAGAGCATCAACCAAACCAAGGGCTGTCTAGCCTGGCATCCTGTTCTCAAGAGTGAACATCCTGAGGGCCCTGGGAAGCTCAAAAGTGGGACCAGGGAGATGATCGGGGACCTGTTGTTTCCTAGCATATGGGACAGCGCAACACTATCCTGCCTCGGACCATGGGGTATTCCATGTAGCTACCATGGTAGATAGCTTTGGGTTGGCTTACCAGCCATGAATTTGACTAAATCTTTTAAAAGCCCATTCAGCTGATTCGCATATCTGAATGTTGGAAGATTTGGGGCAGATGAAATAAAGCCCTTCACGCAGCACACAGTCCCACTATGGAACTCGCTCCTACAGGGGGCAGTGATGGCCACCAACTTGCATGGCTTTAAAAGAGGATTAGGCAAATTTGTGGAGGGGAAGGCTATTGATGGCTACTAGCCACAAGGCTGTGCTCTGCCTCCAGTTAGAGGCAGCAATGCTTCTGAATCTCAGTTGCTGGAAACCACAGGAGGAGGAGAGAGTGGTTTTGTGCTCAAATCCTGCTTGTGGGTTTCCTGCGGACTAGGTGGGCTATTGGCCTGATCCAGCAGGCTCTTCTTATGCTCCATGCACATCTGAAGATTATGCACAGGTTCCCTTCCTTGGTTTTCTGCCACATGCTGCAATGTCCAAAGTGTTCTAGCCCAGACATTCTCAGAGCACCCAAATAGCCAAGTCAAACCATTGCAAGGCCACCTTCTGGCTGCAATGACCCTGCAAAGAATTTCCTTGCAACCTACCTTAGCAATGAAGGTGGACATGCCCTATGGCAGATACATGCACAAGCATTCCCCCTGGACTGTGGCCTTGATCTTTTGCAGGAGCACAAGGGAGCCAAAGGCCACATTGATTTTCATGTCAGCAAGGGAGAGTGGAGTCGGCACATTGAAGTCACTGAAAGCAATGCAAGCTCAACGTGCTAAATGCTGACCAGATCCCGCCCGTCACCATTTTGAACAACTTTAGGATGCATAATTCTGCAGAAAGGTGTTAAAATCCTCCAGAAACACCAGGAGGTGTGTTTTCCTTGGGGAAAACTGATCCTAACTAACACATGGGGCTGCACAAGTTTGCCCTTACTGATGCAATTATTTTATCTACTTCTAACATCTGTGTTACTAAGGCAGGTTGCCAGACATTTTACTACAGGTAAAATACGTACATTTGCAGGACTGGAAAACTGAGTCAGCTCCCATTTATAAAGGGCAACGATGCAACCTGTGCATCTCCTGGGAGGCTCAGTGTTATTGCACATTTTGGTATTACCCCAGCAAGTGCTGCACCCCCCCCGCTAACTAAGGCTAGTTTCCAGTGAGTGCCACAACGTAACTGTCTTACAGCAAGTCAGGCCATTGGCTTACCTAGCCTAGCACCATCTATCTGGGCTCGCAGTCGCTCTCTGGGCCCTTGCTCTGTCCTGTAATCCAAACACTTTGAGATGGAAACAGCCTTGGACCTCCTGCATGCAGATCCCAATGAAATTGGGCTCCTCCCCAGTCAAAGGCAGGCATGGAGCGCTCCTTGCATCAGTGATGGAGGTGAGGTGTACAGAAAAGCCAAGAGTAGGCAGGCAGGCACGAGGTGGCTGTGTGAATT